ATTTGGTATTTTCAATCAAGCTAGATAACTAACCATTAAATGTTTCTTTAAGTATGAATTATGAAGTCTTATTAAATCTGTAGTCAGCAATAGGTTTTATTCGCATATCTGGAGTATTATATCTTTAAAAGAAGTAGGATCCTTTTTTTGCTATTTAAAAAATTCCTAATATTGCCAACAAAACCTCGAAAAATTTAAATATAAGATAAATTACAAACTTACCTTATTTTTTATCCTAGAATTGATATCCGAATAAAAATATATGGTGTTCCATTTGAAAATCTTGAGATTTTGTTAACTGAATTCGCGAAATGGCACCACATATTTGGGACACCCTGTATAAGTTGAGACGCATCTGTCAAATTGAGTAGTGCATTATCTCCATGGTCTGTGGTTAAATTTTCGTTGCAATACCTGGATCAGTAGCGACACAATAGAATTTTATATGGGGTAATGAAAATATGAAAAAAAAATATAACCTCAATTTCTGCCTAAACGATGCAAAATTCAAATAGGCGTTTCTTAAGAAAGTTACCTTTATTTTAACCAGGGATTCCAGAAATGTCAACATATACGGGGTGTTCAATTTACAATAACAAAGTTGGTGTCGGATTGGACACCATGTATCAACAAAATTAGTATATTTTAAACCTTCAAGAGAGTCCAAGAAACTTTTGTACGAAACTTTTTTTCGTATCTTCTATGGGTTTCCAGATCGCATAGTGGCTCGTTTTATATGGCACACGGTATACAAAATATAAAATATGTGTTACATATTTTAGCATGTTAACATGATTCTTTATTAATTTGCATTTCTTGTGAGCATACATGCGAATAGATAGTATCATTACCTTAAAATATAGTTGTTATTTTTTTATTCGACTTCGGATTTGCATTTTTATAACAAATTAAGATAAAAGGATTCTGAGTGTCTAAGAGTTGTGCAGGTTTGCTATGCTGCAGAATCAGGGAGTGCATGGGATTACTTGTCGTACCTCTTCAATATAGTCAGTGATAATGGTCAGTTCTTCAGTCTCTATGGTTACATTATTAAAGACTTCAACTAATGAGAATTGTTCCAGATCTTTCTTAATAGAAGTCCTCCGTATCTACGTTGCAATCAAATTCAGTTTTAAAAAGGCACTTCTTTATTGTTATCGGTACCAAATGTCGCCATGCTTTCGAAATCCATATTAAAGCGTTGGTTAGAGTAAAGTTTGGTTTAAAGGATAATAAATCAGGCAAAATCAAGAAGATTTGTGAATGGATAATTAACAATACCACTTTTGTATGTTGTTTCTTCATGGGGTATTGTTTTGACGTTTTAATTTTTCCCAAAAATCGAAAGAAACGTCCAATAAAAAATACAAAATATTGTACTATAACACATTATTTTCATATTAGATGCACTCAAAATATTTGATCAAACAACATGCAGGGTAAGTTAAAAAATAAAAAAATTGCATAATAGTAAAGTACCCTTATCTCCAAAAATTGTGCAATATGTTACAAAGAAAACTGATTTGGAATTAAAGGTTATGCGTTAATTTGAAAACAGGACTTGCTAACATTTTTGTTCGAAAGATATTGATAATTTACTTATTTTTTTAAATTATTTTAATTATTGTAGCAAATTTTTGTTGCAATTCCATCTTATTTGTAAAATTATCTAAGATTAACAATTAACAAATTTTATATTTTTTTCAACGATATTTAATTCCACTTAAAAAAATTTCATAGAAAAATGTAGTTACAAATTGTTAATTGACAAACATAAAGTCCCAATAAAGTAATCGCCGATATCCATGATATAAAAAGATGAGATGTTGAAGAAAACATTATGGCAGTCTTGTTGATTGTTATTGTCAAATAGTAATTGCTAATCATTTGAACCAATAAGTGCGACAGTATTAAAAAAAGAAAATTGTTAATATTTTTCTATCAAAAAACTTTTTGTTATCTTAGCAGACTCTGTTTTGAAGTTAAGGCGAAAATTATAATTTAACTTTTATTTTTAACTTTTTGCTTCATTTTTAAAATAAGGGTACTTCACTTTTGTGCAGTTTTTGTAATTTTTGTCCTACCTTGTATGCTGTATAACTTGCAAATATTTTAAGTGCACCTAATGTGATTATAGAATACACTAACTTTTGCAAATGTTAGAATTTTAGTTGTGCAGTTAGTAAAAAAAAAGACATAACAGTTTCAGTCAAACTCTGAAGAAGGCAACAGCAAAGCAAAGCAAAAACCGACGCAGGTGGAATCCAGAAGTTTTGTAAAAAGCATTGGAGTAGTCTATGGAAGTTTCTTTGAAAAATTAAAAAAAAAACATATTTTGCATACTACACACACACTACACTGCACAACACGGCACAGAAAAAAATTATATTAAAAACAAATCTTTTATGAAGCAAATAAAAATTTTCTTCCGATATCCCACCGCGAGTAAAATTTGTGAAATTGAACTATATTCGAATCATTGGTTAAAATGAAGAGATTTGATTTTTCTTAAAAAAAGTCTAATAAAACTAAGATTATATTAACTACATTAAACGCCGTAAATATACATACAGTTATGTAATATATATTCTAATATATAATATTGTTATCTGTACATTAATTACGAATCTGCGCTAAATTAATTATTTCTTGATAAATGTTCGGTATAAACGCCGCTGTCTTGGTGGGACTTAAAATAAATTTTTAGTAGCAAAGGTTTAGTAAACACGTCTGGAATGATGAAAAAAAAATTTAATAACCCGTATCTCGGTAACGTGAACATATTTTGGTATACAAAAACTGGGGTATATTTTACACGACCCTTTAAAACGTGCTCCCGATATCACCCTGTATAGAGCGGAAGCGATAAACGGAAAATGGAAAAACGCCTTAACAGTTTATTAAATGCGCGACACAAAGAATTCGTCTCCTTTTGCCGATACTCAGCAATCGCTTTCGAAAATCCAGTTAGAGGCAATCGTTAAAAATCAAATAAAAAAGATAATATCAAAAGGTGAATGCGGAATATTTAAACTTGTTTCAGCTTTATGATCCTGTTTGTAATGGAAAACTTATTTTCGTTCAGTTTATAAGATTTTACTCGATATTGAAGAGGGAACTGCGGAATTGAATTTTCCTTGTTTATTTTCGGTACTTCGTAACTACGACAACGTAATATGATTAAAGAATCGCGACATGCGCTAGTCGTATTTAAACGATACGCATTTTTTTTTAAATTCGATTTTAATTGGAAGGCCACGATACGAGACGTACAGATTGTACAGGGTGATTCACCTTCACTACCTTAAACCTGTAGATATTAAGCAGAAATCTGGATTTCTGTGTAGCATTTCCTGAGAAGAGGATAATTTCTTACTTTCTACGGAGATTTTACTTTTTATTATTATTATATTTATTCCCTTAAATTCGAGAATAGTGACCGTAAATTTAATATTAGTATATTCGTCTAAATTACTACAAAAACTCAGTGACACTTTTACTTTCTCTAGTTAATTTTGTTCAAATTTCAGTTAAAATCAAGTTGTGGACAACTAACAAAGGAAACTTTTCCAAATTTGAAGATGTTAATGTCTGATATATCACCATTGTGGCTCATAAGACGTGGATATTAAATTTTAATTTTGTAGCATTTTTATTAAAGAAATATAATAGTTAGTGAGTTTTCCAAACAGAAAAACTCTTAAACCCACATGTCCCGAGAATATAAACTTGGTTTAACTACATAATTCAAAAGACGAAAAATTTATTCAAAAACAGCGACTATTCAAAAGGCCCACCTTATTAAAAGAATAATAAATTATAACTATTTCCATCTCAGGTTATAGGTTTTGAATATAAGTTGAGAACAATTATTTTTCTTCCTTTTGTTTTCCGTATTATAAGTTGATAAAAAAATAGTAATAAGTCTTGTGAAAAACCTCTTTGCTTTTTTTTAATTTTATTATATTATTATCATTATTATATTGTATTTATTATATTATTATAATTTTTATTCTACCACCGAATTTTATGATATATTACTAATTCATTCATTTTGGTTTTTGAAAAGGAAGCAATCTCCTACATGGGCAAATGTTTAGAAAACACATTTTAATGTTAGTTTCCCAGAAATTTTGAAAAGAAAGGCGTGGATCGTTCTATATAATTAAGCCGACATTTTCTCGAATTGCATTTTAAATATTAACGAGCGCAAAGTCCCTGGGCTTTAAAGCTCAATTCGAATTTGCATATTGTTTGCAATTTTTTTATCTCTTAAATGCTGTAAGTTATCGCTGAATCATGAATCAACGCAAACACATCCTGGATATTATTTTTGCGGGGAACGTAAACAAATTTGGAAGAAAAATGGGAATAAAAGCGATAAGTTTTCGAAAATTTCTATTAACTTCAGCTTTAAGATAATACCTTGTCAGGACCGTATTGCATGCTTTACATTCACAAGTTGCCTTCGATAACGCTTTTATTGTTGAGGGATTGACTCTTTCTCAAAAATACTGTTTATTAAAATTACTTGGCTTTTGCTACACTGTACTGCATGATCGTAGAATTATTATTGCGATATTGCGATTCATATTTCAAGTTTTTATTAAATTTTGTTTGAATTGAAGCGTGCTTGCATTCACTAATGCAAAATAACGATGTTAACGGGAGATATTTAATAATGCAATATATTAATATTAGGACTAAACTTAATTGTCGCACATATCAGACGACTTGTTTTTAATATTAACAAATTTAAAACGAGAAATGTAATTCAAAGAATCTTATTGAAATAGCCAAAAACAAATACTTATATAACGCAAGAATAAAGTATTCGGATAAAAATGTCCATTTGTTCTTAATACGCCACTGTACGAGGAGAAGGATTTACTCAATAATAACAACTAGCAGCCTTTTGAACTCGCGATAAGGAATTGTCAATTTAGGGTCTCTTAATGACCTCTTACGGACGGCTCGACTTATTAAGCAGCGTAGTTTTAAAGCGTACCGTCCATGTCGATGCATTACTTTTAGTGTTTAATATAATTCGAAACACGTTGAGCACCTAAATGGTGAAATTGAGATGAGATCGTTTTTTGTTTTAGTGTTCGCGTGCCAGCAAATCGCTTCTGTCTACACAGAACATGCCAGTAAGTTTTGTGAAGTTTATATTTGCTTATATTTTTGATCGTTTGTTTCATTAACGCTCGTACGAAATTTTTATGGCACGTGTCTTAATGATGTGAATTTTCCAAACTTCCTGCAATATTCGTTTCAAGTCGATATACGTTCAAAGTAAATTACAAAATAAATCTTAGGCCTTAAACAACACATTATTCGACCAAAGGCACCAGATTCAATTAAATCAACATGTGCATCCAGAACGATAATCGACATTATTCGATTCATGATATTCATGTAGATAGAGACGTTTCGCTTCACATTAATAGTGAAGATTTGCTGTCAGTATATGTTGTAAAGTTTCATGAAATATTCCTGTATAAAAACAGTAATTTTAATACTCATTGCTCTTCTTTGGTATTGGAGCTGGATGTCAACATCTATTTATTAAATAACCTGAAATATATTTTTACAGAATCACAAATGCTCAAATGTTTATTACGTTCATGTTGAGAGTAGAATTAGATATGGTCTAATTACGGTCTGGATGATAGACTGATTGGACAAATGTGTTCTACGTCCTGTAAAACATATTTTAAAAATTTTAATATTTTAACGTTATACAGTCTGTATATATTTTATCTTAAACAATAATTTTTGCTCAGCGAATACAAGAATTAACGACGACTTGCGCAAATAAGATCCCAAGTGTAAGTGGTGTGCTTGTGGTTATCGAAAGAAATAAAAATGTGTGATCATTTATGTGAATTAAAAAAAATGTTGAAGAAATATTTTGTGATGAAATTCCCGTGCTCGGTAGAAGAGTGTCTTTTTCATTCCTTATTTAAAGCTTATACTGTTTATAGTCCTGGATAAGTTGGATTCTCTTTACAAACATTGTATCATGTAATTATCAAGTGATTGCGAAATTGGAATGATGATCAAAATCTTCGAACGCAGTGTTTTATAATATCAGTTCCCGTTAAGGTTAACCCCCCCGCTTTTACTGGGTTTCGACTTAAACATAAAAAAGGTATACTTAAACAGGACGACAAAAATATTTTTTTAATCAAGCCCAAAACCGTTCGGAGGTTAGTTTATTCAGAATTAATGGGGGTGATTTTTTTGAAGTCGGATTTTCCAATTACGTATGAAACGGCAGCACCTCTTTGAAGTGTTTAGTTGGAATTAACATCTATTTATTTTAAGCTTTAGTTAATGTAATCGATGTATGTTACGGATAAAATTCAACCTGTTTCTGATCAATCAATTGCAACACGATCGGGGGATCATTTTTTAGTCACGCCTATTTTTAACAAACGACTTCGTACGCGGAGGATTCATCCTACGAATTTTTATTGAAAATCGCTCGTAAATAAATTATAGAAGTCACAGGAATAGAAAATGCAATATAGTGGAGTTTCCTACGTCTTGTAAAATCCGAAATATTAAATTTTATTGGACCATCCGAAGGAGGAATCGCACGGAGAAGCTATTAACCATTCAGATTTTTTTTATCGGAATCTGACTCTATGACGATTGATTCGATATTAGTAATTAATTGGCGTACTTAGTTGTTTAACGAAATTTTCGTATATTATGTTTTTTTTATTACAGATCCATTGGAGAATCCTTTTATATGTGGAGTTCCAGCCTGTCTATCGGGTAAGTTTCTCCTTATTGGACAATATACAAGGTATTCGGAAATGTTGAACAAAGAATTAAATCGTTGATTCTCCTCAATAAATTAATTTTAAAGTCACATACTATTTTTCAGAAACTCAAAATAACGGACTTGCAGGGTGATTTACACATTTTTTTAATATTAATTTTTTCCGAGTGACTCTAGTATCATTTGTTTTCCTCTGGCAGTTGTGCATTGAAAGAAAGATTCAAGAAAACAAAATTCGTTATAGTCTCTTCAATTGACAATAGCAAAAATATATTTGAATACAAAACAGCTTAATGTGAGACGTGGATTCATCAAACTGAATTAACAATCCGTTACTGAGTGATTATTTTGCCCAGCAGTATCTTTTTTTTAAGATCGTTAATTATTGTTTTGCTCAGAAGGAATTTTCCAATCGCTGACATATCTTCTTAGAATTCTCATTACGTGTTACTCAAACTCAACGAAACAAACAATAGATACCAAGAGAATTCTGATAAGCTGGTTTCGTATTTGTAAAATCACGGGTGGTTGCATTCATTAAGCATAAAACTCAAAAGACCACATTTCGCATAAAACATACTTGCCAAAAGTGGTTCCCCTCAAACGTTTCCTAACTAACCACATGGTTTTTTCATGCAACAAAGCAGCAAATTGAAGCCAGAGTTCACTTCATGTGGAAGTTGATTATCTTGGAGATGTCATATTAACGCATTTCATAAGTTGTAATCTCTTGTCAATTTTTTAAATGTCCGTATGCAGAACTTCCGTTCCACATTACTAATTGTTTGCAACTTTTTATATTTTCATAATTTCAATTCAAGGCTCCATTTTCCCAGGACTACCGCCAGACCTGATTTTTTTTTTATATTTTATGTCCGTTCGGTATGCTTATGATGGCTCAATTTAAATTTTATTGTCGCCATATTTTGACTTCCAGAGCTAATTATCGTTTAGGTCTTTAGTAACACCTCCCCTTTATGCTGTTTACTATGAATTGTTTAGGTGACTTGTAATTGGGCCAGCTACGTCTAATCCATCTTCGATATTTTTGTTTTTGTTAGGTTGGTACACATGCCCCTAACGTATGTTGACAGTTTCAGCCAGTTTGCACGTTTACTTTTTTTTTCGTGAGACATGTATTGTGTGCTCGGCGATTTTCTGCTATCAACAAAAAATGGAACAAGAAATTTGCATATAATTTTGTGTAAAAAATGGTATATAGTGCTGCAAAACAAAAAACAATTATAAGTGGTGCAAGCTGTTCCAAGATGGCCGGGAAGACGAACTTCGCTCTGGACGTCCCAGAACAACTGATGAAAGTGTTGAAGAAATGAAACAAATAGTGTTGAAAAATCGTCGAATGGCTATTAGTGAAGTGGCTGAAGACGTCGGCATCTGTATTGGCTCGTACTATGCATTTTTTCCTTAAGTTTTGGGCATGAAATGTGTTGCGGCAAAAGCACCGTCAAAGTTGCATATCTCCAGAGCTGTCAAATGACGTCAGACCGAAAACAGCACGTCAAGAGAGATAGGTACATAAATTTATTTAGCCATTTTTTACATAAAAAGTTTTTACAACAAATGGCGCGTCAGTAGTACAAAGGAAAAAAGGAAGATTTACGCTGACAACTTGTGGTTGTGGATAAATAAATGGTATAAACAGAGTCTAAAGATAGAAAAATAAACCAATTCCAGGCGTGAAAGCAATATGACAAAATATACAATATACAATAGACATACACTATAAAAGTACAATACATAAATTATAAAGTGTGAAAACTATGGAATCTAAAATTTAACAGAAAACATGAATATAGATAGGTAGATAATAAAAGATATGTTGATCAATCTGGAATAGTATGGTACGATGAGATCTGCCTGTCTTGTGTTGTGTGCTAGTCTGTCAGAATGTCTTTCAAAAGATTTTCATGGATGTGGGTCAGTGCACGGTAAATGAACAGAGTAGGAAGTGTCATGATTTTTAGCCTCTTGAAGATAGGGCGGCAATGTGCCAGAGGTGTTGTTCCGTGAATTGTGCGTATAGCTCTCTTTTGCATTCGGAAAGCTTTGGCTGCATGAACAGAACCGCCCCAGTTTAGGACTGCGTACGACAGCAAAGAATGAAATAAGCCATCCTCAACATCATCGTTGGGGCAAAGGATTTAAGATGCCTCAGCAGATAAAGTCCAGTGGACAATCTGTTACAAAGGAGTTCGATATGTGATTCGCATGTCAACGATCTATCCAGTGTGACGCCCAATAGATTAATTGGGACTTAATTCAGATGACTGACTCTACTGCCTACTACGCTGAGTTTGACTGTGATTAAGAACAAGATTGTTGTAGCTGAACCAGGTCTCCGTGACTTCCTCTGCGCCGACACACTCTTCCGCCAGATGAATGGGATTCTTTCCCCTTATTAGGAGGGCAGTATCGTCTGCGTAGAGCGTAACATGATGGAGGATGTTTAAGGGGAGAACATTAATGTATATAACGAAAAATAGGGAGCCTAGGATAGAACCTTGCGGAACATCAGATGTTCGTCTCTCCAAGTTCCGTTGATTTCGACCAACTGAGATCTATTGTTCAGGTAAGACTTAAACAATTCGAGTGGAGTGCCCCTCATACCATACCACTTCAACTTCCGATACAATACATTGTGATCAATACAGCCAAGTTAAACAATGTGACTCTTACGACTTCAGTGCCATCAAGACCAAGTGCCACCTCCTCGACAAAGTCCACAAGAGCAAGAGTCGTAGATTTCCCCTTACGAAAACTAAATTGAGAAGTGCTGAACAGATTCTTTTTATCGAAATAGTCCATGATCCTGCTCTTCAATCTCACCTTGGCCAGAACCAGGATGATTACGATTGGACGGTAATTATTTGGATCGCATCGCATATGGACAGGCACAATTTTGGCACTTTTTAGTTCGTCGGGAAAAATGCCCTTCTCCAGAATTCTGTTTACTGTGAATGTAAGAGGACCCTCAATAATAGGCAGAACCCTGGAATTGATGTTGTAAAGAGAAGATTTTTGTTGTTTTCATTTATTAGTTTCCAACAACTTTTGCTTAAGTTGCTAGAATTATTCTAAGAGTTCTTATCACAAGGTTGTACGGCCAATGAAGATTATTAGCTAGAAGTTATGCGCCTTTTGCAAGAAGCAATACCAAGGAAACGTCCGGAATTGTGGGAAAACAATTCATGTATTTTGCATCACGATAATGCACCTGCCTATTCATAGTTGCTAACTTCTTGACCAAAACAAAGGCACAACCATGCCTCAGCCACCATATTTACCCATGAAAGGAAGGAGGTTTGGAACGAGATAAAGAAAAAATCGCTTGAAGAACTCAAGGCTATACCAGAAAGTGTATAATATATCTGTACTTTGAAGGGGATAAATAAATTGTTTTGGATAAAACTTTACAGTCACCTTACTTTTTGCGGACTTAAAATAGAATTCAAATAGATCCGTTATAGATTTTGCAAAAACTTTGTGCGCATGCCCCAACATTTTGCCATTTAACAAATTTACAAGAACAACATACCATGTTTTTCAATATACTAGCTAAAAAAAAGTAATTTATAGCCACCTAACTGGTATAAGCAGTGAATTATTTGGAATAAGAATACAATTTTACTGGACATGAATAGTATTATCCCAACCTCTCAACTAATTCGGCTTTGAGGACGTCTATGACACTTCAAATATCGTCGTAATTGAACGCAATTATGAGTTTCTACCCCAGGTATTGATTTAACATCAATAAATTTTTTATTTAATGTTATTGGTAATAAATTGATAATGTTTGTTGCCAGGTCATAATTTTATAAACTGAGGAAACCACATCAAACATTGAGACAGACCTGCAAAGTTATAGTATTAAAATTGTAATTTTGCCTTTTCTGTTAGTTTAAACAATTTGCGTTAGTTTTATGTGGTATTTTTATTTAATGTGGTTAGGAAATTCGCACAATACAGAATAATCGCTATATTTGTTTAAACCAATACGATAAATATATTAATGTGTGTGAATTGGACCGTGAACATCACTAATTGTTAGTTTATTAAAATAACATTTTAGGGGCACATGTACAATTATTTATTTTTTGTTTTAATTGGAAAACTGTAACGTTAATTTAATTTGTCGAAAACTAATTACGATCATATACTACAGTGAGAAATATTCGATTCGAATTGTAAACCAGTCGTTTTCAATTCATTGTGTGTTGTATTTAATATCTTTGTTACCGTTACGTAACTCGCTGGACTTTCGAGTGGTTGATGGGGAGAAGGGGAGGATAATACAGCTACAATACTTTTCGTACTTGAAGTACGTTACCATTATTGCCGCAAAATAAATCCGGCAAAAGTTTTAAATTGGGACTTTAAAAACTTTGCAATAAAGAGTAATATGAGCCCCCACGAATGTCTTCAAGTAACTTGCATAACAAGGTAAATAAGTTGTTATTCTGTTCGGCTTCAACTTTTTCGGAAAATCGGACGAATCCGCTCTTGCGGGTACACAATTTATGTAAATTGTGTACATAGATATCACCTGGAAACACAGTAATGTTAGGTGTTATGTTGGGCCATACATTTTGTGAAAAAATGTTGCAGACAGCCCGCAAGAGTATACAATGAGATAACAAACCCACATGGACGATAGTATTGTGTTCTCGGTTGAATTCTCCTAGCGTTATCGCAGAACACTTCGTCATATTCTTATGTACGGACAACCCGCATCTCACTTGTCGGAAGCAGTGACTCGCTGATTACGAGACACCATTTCCTTTCTCTAGATAAGTTTTGCTTTGAAGATTACTTTATTTTTCTCGATATACTAATGCCTCCTAAAGCATTCCCCAGATGTTGCAAATTTTCTTAATTCCTCAGTACTTCGGCATATTCATGGCAGAACTGTATGGTTTGGCAAAATTTGTTCTCAGTGCACTAGATGAGATAGTGAAATCATTACCAAAACCGTCTAAGAAAAATAATAATATTAACTAAAAATGCGTTTATCTGTTATCTATTTTCCATTCATGCACTTTCATAGCATATTCAGTTTTTTTGATTTACCAGTTTAAAATAAAACCAAACAGTAGCAGGTTTACATTTGTAATTTATGTCTTGATCGCCTTGGTTTTATACAAAATCATAAGATGGTGAAATGTAGCCTTCTGTATTTCCGACATTGTCTTTTTTCCTATATAATAAGATCATTTTATCTAAATCGTAAGAGGATATCCGGGAAAATTGATGAGGACTATTGACATAAGCATGATCTGATGTCCCTCCAGATCAAATTTTGTTATTAAGGCAAGTTGACTGAAATTGACAATTGCTCTCTTTAAATGATTTTTATTGTTTAAACAATTAACGAAATAACAATAACCCAGATGTTTTATGTTAACTTCAATGCTCAATATTTGGTTTTTAAATAAAAATATCTTAATCTCCTTTTTTATAATGAAACAATGTACTAGATATGCGAAGGCTCTTAAACAACGTCATCGTTGAATTTTTCTTCATCAAGTAGAGAAAAATCGGTTGAAGCCATTGCCACCGACGCACTATAGGTGTAAATTTACAACATAAGGCACTTACTACGGAAACGAATCTCTATACGGTAAGCCATCAGTTTAAAGTTGTATGCAACACGTACACCGATGTTTGTTTTTCCAGACTAGTCTAAAGGTGTATTAGAATCGGGGCTGTTCAATATTTCAAATCATATTTCGTTTATATGCCAACAAGCAGGATAGCAGTGATTCATTTGTCTCGTGACCAACATCACAAACTTTTTGAATAAAAAGTCAATTCCATGGGATTTGAGCCCAGGTATTCTGGACTCTTCTTCTCTATATCTCTGTATCTAGTAATCCTGTACCTGTAATTTTCCTGATTTCTTTTCTACTTAATTGAAGGTGTTACCATTCTTCCTTCAATATTCCAGCGACATTCTGCCAGCTAGCATTAGCTTTAAGAGAAAAAGAAAAAACGCTTGGCAGGCAAATTTAGATCAGTTCTCCTTCTACCTGATATAATATTTACATTTATTGTTTGATGATAAACTTGTATTATTTCGCATTTACTGGTCCAATAAATTAGCAGCGTCGGTATCGACCTGATGACTGAGAAAACGAAAGGCAAGCAATTATTCCGCTGTAATAACAAACTGCTAGGCTTGTGGACTTCGATGTTGGTGAATGGCGTTAATATGCTGACAAATCGTTAGTAATGTTATCTGAAATATTCGTGCGTAATGTACCGGTTTGTATGACTTGTTGGGCCTACAAAATGGGAGCTCGTTGGTATTAAAATAACGCAACTGAATTTATAAATAAAATCTAAGCAAAAATTCGTAGAAAAAATATTTAAATTATCTGAATGCCACTAAGTTGATGCCAATTCTTTACTATTAATTAATTAATTAAAAATCTTATTTTTATTTCAGGAACCAAAGATTTGTTTTTGGGAAAAATTATTATAAATAAATAAGAACTAACAGTTCAGATTTTCACGAAATTATATGTATTTTTTTTACATGACAATTGAACTGTTAGTTCTTATTTATTTTGATAAATGGATTTTCATCAAGTAAAAGCCACCTCAGTTCAATTTTTATACCTGGTATACCTTCGATGGAAAAATCAGTTCATCTTCTTAAATGATATTGATATATAGCATTTTATTTCGAATTCTCTTTTGCCATATTTTAATTACAAACTGTTTCATTCTTCTTTAAGAAGCACCCTTTTTCCAACTTTTGAGTTATTTCTGGAGCAATATTCTTGGTGATATTTCTAGACCACTAAATAGAACAAGTTAAGAGAAGAAAATAAGTCATTTAATTTGGTTAAATATGACTATCGGCTTCCTGGATCCAAAGTTCCTTTACTTCAAATATTTTTCATCGAACAACTTGATCGAACAAAAAGCAAAAATTTAACAGCTTCTATTTCGATATTAATAAATGCGATGCTTTTTGGGCTTTTATGAAAAGCAAAATTCTTATGAGGTCGACGTTTAAGCAATTTTATTGCCATCTTCAGTACTAATAAGGATGATAATCATAACGAATAACGAATTCAGATAATTTGAAAATAGTATAATAATGAGGTGTTAATATTTACATTTAATATATGTAATGTAATATTTTTTTTATGGAATAGCAAATTTATGTTCCTTGCTTCCTGCGTTATTTGTGATATAATGAATGGTCCACGATCTACTGTACATATTCATACGGAAAAAAATCCTCATAAAGAACGCAATAAAACTGCAGAATATTATTTTTCATAAACATTGTCCCCGCATCAGTTCATTCATACCTTATATAGTATTAAGAAAAGAAGAGTGAATTTAGCTTTTTGGAGAGTAAAACAAATATATAAATAAATTTGCGCGTTTTATGGGCTCTCAATTCTGTACTTTCCAGAACGTTTTCCGTGGCATCTCTAAAATCTACCTAAAAGATCTTTAAATTGTTTATGTTAATGTTTGTTCCCGTTCCGAATACAAATTGACGTTTGAACCAAATTACGGTACAATTTATTTTCAGGTGACAGCAAATTTAAATACGGCCCAGGAAAGTACCAGACTTACAAGTATTCGATAGAATCGAGAAGCGTGTTTAACGGGACGAGCAAGAATGAGTCGACTTTATATATTGAGGCTGAGGCGAGCCTTAATTTCCTCACACCTTGCGACGGTGTCCTGACCCTATCCGAGGTTAAATTAAGCGAAAACATCCCGAGAGACAAGAATGAAATTCCGGAACACTCTAACAGTCGATTGTTTGCTGACATGATAAGTGAACAATCATTGAGGTTCGCATTTAAAGATGGGATTATCACGGAATTATGCCCGGAAAAGGACGAAAAAAGCTGGCCTTTAAACTTTAAAAGGGGAATCTTATCTATGTTGCATAATAGCATGAAAAGGTTCGATCTTGATCACACCACGAACGAAGAGGATGTAAGAGGAATATGTCCGACCACTTACACAGTAATTGGACCTAAGGAGACGAGTCTGCTGATAGAGAAAACAAAGGACTTGAGTTCGTGCATCGACAGGGCGAAATTCAATTCTATAGTTCAGTTTTCTGCGATTCCTAATTTTCAGTCTGTGAGTATAATGTTGATAAATTAAGCATTAACCCTTCTTATCTTTTTATTTTATTCGTAAATATGATTTCCATCAAAATATTTTCCTTTTAATAGTTATAAAGACGTTTATCCCAATTGTTGTTGATGTCATTTGATATTATAATTCTGATTATCCATGATCTCTTATCATAATTTTCCCTTATATTGGAAATTTCCTGTTGAGATCTAATTACAAATTATTAATAAATTAACCGAGTATCTTTGAATTCTATATCCTGTTCCCCCACAAACGTATTCATTACATCTCAGTTGCAAAATGACAAATTTGAAATTGTTAAAGCGATGGAATTTAATTCCGTTTTCCAATATTTGGATTGATATTATTAGTAATTATAATTAACGTTGTTTTCTAGTCATGATAGAATGTTGTTTCGCTCATTCACAAAATTTACCTATGTCCATTCAACTACAATTATACGACGTGCTATCAATGTTCAAATCAATTCGCGTGATAATAATAAAGCAACCGCGATTCTAAATTTGGTTTGATTGCCGCTTTTCATTGTTTTTTGGCCAAGGTTGCGGGTTTATTCTGCGAATATTCCTATAACTTCAGTTCCAGCTAACCGACAGTAGCAGTAGCAGCTGTGTTACAAGAGCAATATATACCAACCATTAATCAACTGCTATCGCTTTATCAATTTTACCTTAGTATATCAAAGAAGACTCCATAAGTCGGAGTTGTGCTTCGAAATTACATTCTAGAGGCAAATGAATACAGAACAAACAAAATTTTTTACCAGTTTTTAAGATGTTTTTCAAACATTTTGGCATTTGGTGGGTATTAATAGTAGTCTTTATTAATTCTATTCTTGATATGCAGCGTGTTTCAAAATTAACAGTTCATGTCAGTCTATTAGAAAAATTTTTGCTCAAATGACAGCAACTCCGTTTTTGACAATTTCTTATCTTGACCAGTTTTATCTTTTCAGCAGGTTTATTTCAACTCCATATGAAACAAACTTGCTTTTCACGTTTTTTTCTTGAAATAAAAATGTATATATACTTTGTTTTAATGGTGAACAATATTAGTTTACCATTTTTTTGTCAACGTTAATTTTTATGTGTATATAATGGAAAACTAACAAGCCGTCAGAGAAAATCGAATAAAGTTTTAATAATAAATTAGTAAGACCATGAAAGTAAATTTCATTTTTTTCATAGTATGTGTTATTGCTTAATTTTATATATTTGCTTTTCAATTTCTTGTAAAATGCATTACAACGGCTCGATTGGTTTTGTCGAGTTTCATTTCCTTTTTATGCGAAACCAAGGCATGTTCCCAGATTGCTTTGGCAGGAAACGCCGCGCCTATTTGCCAGATGCACTGAATAGTAAACAAAACCAGACAATCGCTTTATTGATCCGTAAATTCGAATGTTAAAAAACCCCTATCAAAAACTCGAGCATTAATGGTTCATATACTTTTTTTTAATTTTAGTTATTAAAGTCGAACGGGGTAACGGATCCGAAAGGGGGTAGTAAATTTTTTATTTTGTGGGTAATGGAAAGCTGGAAATTAGTCGCTCAAATGAAATCGGGTGTTATTAAAATATATGCCATACCAAATATCCCGCGATTTCACGTGAAAATACTGAACGTGATTTTACGATCTCGTTTCTGTAATTCGCAGAATTATTCGTTTATACACATTTGTTTGAAATAAATTAAGGCTAAAATTAAATATGTCCTTATATCTATACCGTTGTAAAAGAACATTATATTATATTATAGGAGATGTAGAAGAGATTAGCGTTGAAAATCGTACAATTTATTCAATAAATTATATTACACTTCAATTTATAAATAACGGCAACATCAAAACAGTTTCTTCGGATTTCAAGCGATCTCTTGTTGGAAAGTTTTAAGTTATCAGCTTTCCGCGTTATTTCTTCGATTTCAATCACACGTTCGATGCGGTTACCTCATTTTGCACAATTCATTGTCTCTATTCCGTCTCGCAAAAGGGTATCAACGTCCCCCATTTTAAAAGTGATGTCATGCCTTGCTACAAATACTGTTTGGTGATGCAAGTGTCCTTGTGAAATGCGAAAAAAGCTCTGGTCTGTATGCAGAATGATGCAGGCCCTGGTTTGAAATATATAAATAAAAAAAATGAAAATAAATAACGATTTATTTCTCTCTCACATTAAGAAACAGAGTATAGCTAACCTCGCTTGATGTGTTTTAGCGGACGAAAAGTCAAGACCTCTTGAAGTCGAAGAGCAAATGTACCTTATCGATCGATCACCACATTTACAACGAGATCATCTGCGAAGAAACTCACGTCTTGGAACCGTTTTCCAACCAAGCGGCCGGTGCGAGCACCGTCATCATCCAGCGTTTATCTCTCGTAGAAGAAGGCGATAATAAACGTTCTGACGAGCAAAGCGAAATTATGAGAAGAACATCTCTGAAATTCGACCACGCAATACCGAAGCAGCCGACTAGCGGTAACATAAAAGGAACGAGAGATTTAATGAAAAAATTATGCAAGGAGAGTCACAACGAATTGCACATTGAGTTTTCCGAATTGTTCGGGCGATTCGTTTACGAACTACGTTCGCTTAGCTATCCGGCTTTTTCCACTTTGTATTCCCATTCGAGGCAAACCTGCTCAACCGCCACGTAAGTGTAACTAATATGTTTTTTATATAACAAAATTTTATATTTATATTTTAGTTCTGAATTCTGTTTCTTCATTCATATCATTCCTCGATATTGTAAAATACAGATGTATGATACATATGTTTTTCCGCAGATCATCCCCCAAGCCTGTGCCTCTCTTAGTTCCTTACTTAGAGTTTCCCAACCTCTCCAAGCATTTACCGTTTTCTGCGCCCATTCCAGGATGCAGAAATTTTTTTAAAGAAACTTCTACAGGCTACTGTAATACTTTTTACAAAACTTATGGATTGCTGCTGCGTCGGTTTTTGCTCCGTCGAACTTGCTGACGTTTCGCCAATCATCCTGTTGGGTTATTCAGAGCTTGACTGAAACTGGCTCGCATTTTACTCTGTACCTGCTTATATATTGTTTGAGGGGGGCTTAGCTAAATAGGGGCATAGACACCGTCTCGGATGACTGATTCCGAACGAAAAATCCGAGAGTCTATAGAACAACCTAACAATCTTAACCGCGATTCAGGTCTCTACCTGTCACCAATATGGGAATCAGTCATCCGAGACGGTGTTTATGCCCTTTTTAGCTCCGCCCCCTCAAACAATATATAAGCAGGTACAGAGTAAAATTCCAGCCAGTTTCAGTCAACGTCTGAAGAAGCCAACAGGATTATTGGCGAAACGTCAGCAAGTTCGACTCAGCAAAAACCGACGCAGGAGGAATTCAGAAGTTTGGTAAAAAGTATATAGAAAAATCTTGTTTTCGAAGGAGATTATTTTATTTCACATTTTAGTTCCAGTTCCAGTTAGTTAGTTCCAATTCTCTTATCAAAATTTCGCTCTGCTTTTTTTAAGCTTCAGACTGGGGTGCAATTAAGTGTGAAGTTGTTACGCCAGATATTTCGACGATTGAATTGCATTGTTTTGAATCAGCTCCACTTTTTCCAAGAGAGAGTGAGAGTGCCTATTTCTTTATCGAGTGATGCTTCGTCACTGCATATTGTGATTGCTTTTTTAGAGAGTGTTTGGATGATTCCCAGTTTGGTTGCTTCCTGTCTAGAAAGGTGCTTATCTCTACTTACTAGGGCATCTAGAAACGATAGGCAACTGTTCTGGAATGAAACCGTTCTTCGCAAAGAATTAGGATGATGTAGAAAGGAATCAGCTGCCTATCGGTTCTCTTCCGGATGATGAATCGCCAATATATCGAATCCGGACTCTATATAGCTATTCCCTACCACTGGTGAAAAAATAAAAGACAATGGAACTTCGAAAATCTTTTAGTATTTCTACCGAATCATTGTTTTCCACCTTCAAGCAAATATTGTATTATACATTTTCCTCTTTTCTCAGCAACGCTTTTCCAATCATTTTCCGTTAACCTTAGGCATCGATAGTAGTTTATATTTTTCTGAATATAGTAAATCTTGTTGTTATCCACCAAAACCTTTTGCCATAGTAAGTCAATGTGCATTATAATTATAATTATGATCAGGCATTTCCAGTGTTTCTAATACTTTAGTCACGGCATGTTTTCGCTTATGGGATTTTCACTTTTGTTGGTTCTGATGATTCTTCATGTCTTTGTGTGTTCTGCACCCATCACTTCAATCCGTGAATATAATAGTGCTGTTTTGCAAAAATGTGGAAAATTATTGTATATACCTGGTGTCCCAGTAAGGACAAGGAGGTACAGTATAGGGGAAAAAATTAAGTCATAAACCGGGCAAGAGAAAACGCAGAAAATTATTTTTGAGGTTCTGAAATGGCCAATGTCTTGAATATTAAAACCCTTTTTCTGCAAAGTTTTCTTATAATATTGATACTTAGAGTGAAGACTATTTTTGTTAGATGCCTTTCACTCTTTCTCTAAAAGAAAAGTTTAAAATTGACTTTTCGGAGGCAATCCAACATTTCCGGAAATAAATATCTATAACGCTGTGAGTGTCCCTTTATGGGAGCTTTCACCGTACTTAAAACGTCACTAATTAACAAAATAAACCTTTAACAATATTGATCAATAACTAAAGCTAATGTTTTATAAAAAGAAGTGATAATACCCAGTATTTGAAAATAAATAAGGATATCACAACTTTGAGTGGAGATGCGTACCAAAATTCAACTTCTTTTGAGTTTTAAATACTTTTATCTTTATTTCAGGGTAGGATGAGCCCCTTGTTTGACTAAACAATTCATATCGTTGCACTTATTCTTCTCTAGAAAATTTTTCTTTTGCCATTATGTCAGAAGACGCCATCTGGTGGCGGAGTACTCAATCGCAATCAGCTCACTTATAGCTTATAGCCCTCACTTATGCCCCCCCCCCCCTTTTCTCTTTTTGTTTCCTATTTTTATAATTTTCTAATATATTCTATTAAAATAATTAATTTGGATTGGCAGCAAAACATAATTTTGATATTCCTAAGGGACCGTTTTCAATAAGAAATCGAAAAAACACACCCCTTAGTCCATTAACCCGAACCGCATAAAACAAAAATGGCGGAAAGGCCGCCGTGAGAAATATTGCGTTTGAAATAACTGGGACAAAAAAATATGTTAGAGTGCCCTCACCGATCTGAAACCCAATCTAAAAAATTGATTGTCTATAGATGTCATCATTTATTTAGGTTATCTAAGAATGTTAGCATGAAAGGGGAGGGAAATAATTCGTCGCATTTTTCATCTGAAAAACATGGTGAACATTTTTTGCCTGTGATTTTATTTGAATTTTTCCGCATTTATTCCTTTTTGTTTTGGTTAGTTTTGGTTATAAGTATTTATTAATGTCCACGGTTGGTAATATTTAATGATTTATATAATTTGTAGCAATGCTGCTAAAAACATTTACAAAATTTGACAAATAATTTGTCACTCTATATAACCGTAAAATACACTAAACTTGAGCTGATTATTGTTGTAATGACAATTTATTTTATTCTATTTATCAATTAGTGCAATATATGGGATATCGAAATAATATACACTTTTTGTAATAAAACGAGTTCAAAAGGCACTGCGGACAAAATTCCAACGTATGCATTCAAAAAAATATTTATGTCTTTGTACTTTTAAAGCCATATGAGTTTCAAATAACGAACCCAACATTCAATACTCCTTTTTTACGACAAACTCAATACGCTTATCAAACGTAAGCAGAGGATCAACAATTACTCCGAGGTCTTTCCATTACTGATTTTCTGCCTAATGCAAATCTCATGTCATATTGATATATTTGATATATAATTGGTTTAGTTTTCTACCAAATGCCATAACATAAGATTTATTGGCGTGAAATTATAACCATATTTTTTTTAATATTTCACACTCGAGATAGAATTTTGAAATCGTCTGTAGAATGAAAACCAGTGAACTCTTTTTTGCTACACTGTTAGCTAAAGTCAGAATTAGAATGGGCAAACATTAGAGAAAATATTCTGAACAGCTGCACTATTAAACAATGTAATTTTGTATTGTTGTTATTTGTATTGCTGAATGTTGGATTTCTTTCGAATATATTGTTTATTGTTTATCAATCATGGAAAAGCTAGAGTTAAATCTGCAAATGAAACTAGCAAATAGCAGTATCGGTTTTCGTAAAAGCAAACAGTACGATGTCTACCTACGTTAATAAATAAATAAAAGGAACTGTTTACAAATGTTTTGTTGAAATTGAAAATAAACAAAGTATGCACAATCTCGCCCTATCGCAAGGTGTTTTAAATTGATGTAACCGTTAATTTAGTTGAATTTCTTTTCTTCGCTCCTAAAGATTGAATCGAAAACGTATACATCCACAGTGGAGAAAATAAAAACGCACCATAATAATGAAATATATCGATACGAAAAGTATATATATTAAGACAGCAGTCGCTATAACTTGAAACCATATTTTTTGCTTGGATTTATCCGTTTCGTTTTTATCTCTACTGCCGATTTATTCAATTTTTTGGTAGAAATCGGCAACCGGCGGAATTATACCACAGGGGTGATATATGACGTTCAGCTTCTTCTTCACTCTCTTGTTTTCATTTTCAGAATCGTCGAAATTGCTGATTAAAATCATTATTCCTATGATTTGTTTTCCGCAAATTCTTAAATAAGATTTAACCACAAGTAATATAATATGGTAGAACAAATTAGCATCATCAGCCAAAGGATGAAAATCAGATCAAAATAAGAAAATCCAGTCTAGAAGCTATTAAGCCAAACTTTAGAGAAAAGTGCTGACACATTATGCATTAATCTGTTGGTAACATAACGAGACTCTTATTTTGGATTAAAAATTAACAAACTGAATTATTAATCCACTAAAGAAAGTCTTGTCTGAGGCTAGTAAGACATTAGTTAACCAAAACTCAATAAACATAAAAAAAGGGAAAATGATACAGGAATTGACTCTGTTTTGGATATCGTTCTAGAATTTCGTTTTTGTTTTTGCTCGTAACTCTACTACGTAAGCAGAATTACACTCATTTTAAAATCACATTAACTCCTTACATAACCTTATAAAATTTAGCGTATAGTCGTATGTCTTTAAACCTTTCGGACTTGGCTATAACTAAATTGCAAAACAAATTAGGACGGACACAGTGATACATAATTACTCAAATCACACTTACATACATAAAATGGCTGGCTTTTATTCTTTTACTTAATATACCACTTTCAACAGAAAATTTTGGATATTGGTTACGACCCCTCTTCGATAGATAAAATTATAACTAAAAAACAGTTTCAAATAATCCCCAACTCTATTCATCCCATATTAAATACCGAATCCAAATTTTATAACAATAACATACATGGAAGAAAATAGCGAGAAACTTTCGAAACATATTTCTAAATTTGGTCTCCTGATTGCTTTTAAAACTAAAAAACCGTATGATTTTTTTTAAACAATAAAACTAAATTACAAAAAACTGAAAAATGCCTACAAGAGAAATTTGGATCTTGTTACAAAATTTATATCGGACAAACATAAGAAAAAATAGAACATTAAAGAGCGTATACAAATAAAAGTTTGGATTCTAACTACGCAATTCATTTAAATTGACAAGTTTCACGATAATTATGCTATTTGACATAAAGCATCAAAAGGCAAGTTTGTTGGAAGCTTTGGAGATAAACAAAGTGAGTTATTCGAATCTATAACTTAATGACATATCGGATTTGAATTTAAATTTATAATTCTACAATAACGGTAATTAAGAATCTATTAATACCGAAACAGCTGTCATAAACGAATCAATAACCGAGAAAATTTTTTCTTCTAATTGAGTTGTCGATTTATCCTATTCTTTATAATCGTACCCTATAGGACACAAACCATTAATTAATTCATCTTTTTACTTCCCACTGATCTGGGAACATGCCGAAATTATTTCCCATCCAAAAAAAAATCCGTCTGAATTTTTTTTATCTCGTTCTATAAATATTTCTCAATTCAGACATTTTGTAAATTCAAATAAAATATTTCCATAAAACAGTCACGATTTCGCTGAGAGTTGAAACACTGCCAAAGTTGTGTTGCTAGACTCTCCAATTTTATCTTTTGTGTCATGTCTTTAAAGTATACTTCTTTTTGTGTCGTCTGTTTTAGTTTTTGTGTTAACGCCTTTCAGGTTGAAAAAGTAAAAAAATAATTTTAAAAATTTAATTACTTCCCATCCCAATTTTCCGATTCGTGTAAGAGGCTTGGGCTTAATTTACCTATAATAGGCTTACTCCGAGGGATATTGTTTATCACGAGAAACCAAAAGCCTTCTTTGTAACTCTAGTTTTACCTCTATTTAGTCACTGCTGTGCTCTTTTTAACCTCCGCCTTGATTCGTCACCAAATTTCAGGTGACTTACATTAGAGAGAAGTGTTGAATTTGGAGAGATTCTTCATAGTTTAAATTTACGGCACAAGGCCAAATTCTAAAAAGATTCTAATATTGCACCTGCTGCATAGTGTAAAACTGGTCTTCCTACCGTTAAAATAATATTAGGTTTGCGTTCATTTCTCATGCAATGAAATAAAATCATTTTGTGTGTCTTTACTATACGCTACCCTCTACTCCATTTAATTTAGTTAACCATCTAGCTATCAAACAGGTTTAAACACTATCTGGAAATTTCCCTGTGCCCTGTGATCCGTTTTTTTTTTTTTTGCTGTAATGTTATTAATGCAATTAACCTATTGTTGTTATTATTATTTATTCTTGGTATTAATGTTATCTCTGTTCTAAATTCTCTCAGATTTTTCTGTGGTGTCGCGATAATGGGATCAATAAAATGAGAAGTTTTGCCGTAAGATTAACATTTATTGTGCGTTATTCGGCCATATTTATGAAAAATATTCTTTACCAACGTTTCGCTATGAAATTCACATTACTCTAAGGATGAAAAATATTCTGGATTTGCCTCAGCATAATCCTTGTAAATTTGAACGGTACTTTAGCTATATATAATGCCATTAAGCTTTATTATAATTATAATAAATATTTTGAATCCAGCTCAGTTCTAGTATTTAGGAAAAAAATTGATGTCTATTTATTGGAATTGCAAGAGCCTCTGTCCTAAACAAATTAATATTTTAACAATAATGAATTTTTAGTCTCTTATTATTATTATAGCTACTTGCTACTTTCGAAAAATCGATGAAATCGATTCTTTTCGAAAGTATACGCGCTCTTCACTAAACTCCAGATCTCGATAACGGTGCGTCATACAGCGTCGACGTTAGTACAGATGGAATCAAGGTCGAAAAAACATGTTTTTATTTTTTGTCTGTCTGTTCTCTCCAATCTCTGTTCTAGGATTTTCCGACGGTAATTTCCGAACGGTTTGAACTAGACGCTTCAAATTTTGCTCATTTGGCTGGCAAATGGCTGCTGACAAGCTTTTTTTTAGACATTGCTATGAAATACGAAAAGTGTCTGAAATTTGAAGCTATCGACTTCAAATTTAGCACACGTATGAAGCTTAGTCGCCTAACGGAACCTTTTGAAATTTTTGGGGGGGGGGGGGGGGGAAGAGGAGCGAGGGAGTATTTTAAAAGCGTCTAAAAAAAGACTCATTTATCGAAAACCGTTAATGTAAACGAAAAAATTCTTTAACGAAAAGATGCAGAAGATTTGATTTCATAAACTTTTATTCTTGATATATTTTTTGAAAATGTACAGGGTGCACTGCATATTCAAAAAAACTGAAAAATGGGTTCCTCTATTATTGAAAGTTGGCTATAATTTAAAATCTGTGTTTCAGATGTCAGTTTCTTTTACATGACGATATAGCCCATATAGACGGCTAAAACTTTTGTATTTAAGGTTTTTAACTATTGTACAGGGTGTTCGAGATATTCCGTGAATATTAAAAAAAGAAATAAGTGTCCCAAATTTGCAGCTACCGATTTCATCCTTGGCAGAGAAGTTGCAAAGTAGTAAATTGGAAGAAATAAAGTAACGCGAAGTATTTTTTTAAAAATTTTAATTTTTTTTTTGGTTATTTTGGTTTCCAGAAAAACATATTTTTCTCCAAAAAGATTCTGCGCTATAACTTGTGTTTCACGCATTTTTTCGATTATGTACAAGGTCTTTTAGTAATGGACAAAAATCTAAAAGACTCTGAAAATTGTTCCTTTAGGGAGTAAATTATTATTTATTATTATTATTATTATTATTATTATTATTATTATTATTATTATTATTATTATTATTATTATTATTATTATTATTATTATTATTATTATTATTATTATTATTATTATTATTATTATCATCATCCAATCCAATCCAATACCTCGCACTCAATCTAGACGTCAAATGACGTCATTTACTATTACGGTGTACTGCATGGTTTCAGAAAAGAGGTATTTTCTCTCCTACTGAAATAATTCATATACTGGGAAATGTAGGAGATCTAGGGCTATAACTTTTACTTGCGGCATTTTTTGGATTATGGGCAGGGTGTGTCTATTATTTGTAAAAACAACAAAGAAATCCTGAAAATTGCCGTTTTCGTGGGTAAATTATTAGGCGTAATTGAAAAATAATAAAATATAGGATAATTTGGTTTAAACAGTGTCGAGAGAGACTTTCAAGTTTTGTCCATCATACAGTGTGCACCAGATATTTGAAAAAATATAGCGAATCGCTATTATTTGTAAAAAATTTTGAATTTATCAAAGTTTGGCGTAACTTTGAAGTTAGACGAGATTTGAAAGGCAGGGTGCATGAACGATAGAAAAACAATGCGTTTCGCTAAGATAAGAAACCGCGAAGCGGCTTCTTTTCGAAATAGAAAGCTGCGCGTTACTTGCGACTAATTTTCCGCTCCCAGCTACGATTTTTTGAAAGCAATCTTGTTTCATTAACATTGTAATATTCGGTTAATGTTGAACAGCTGAGATCGATGTCTTAAAGTATGAAATGTGTAACTATATTAGTTTGAACTGGTATTAGGTAATTTTGTGTGCAAAAATTTAAAATATCTCAATAAAAACTATTATTATTTTTATTATTATGTGTGTGTTCAGCGCTAAGGGTCAAAATTTAATCCCTATTTTTTTTTGCAGCAAACATTTATTAGACGCTCTACCGTACATTAACACGGGTGCCTCTGTCGCTCTCATGAAAGATATTATCCTAAAGGGTGGCGTATCCGAAAACACAATGAAAGAGTGGATGTTGTCAATAGCTTTCATTCCGAGGCCGGATGAAGAAATGATGGATTCGGCATTAATGCTCGTGAAAGAAAAAACCTTCTCCGCGAACACAGTTTTAAGCGTTGCTTCTCTCGTTCATACGTTTTGTAGTCAGAATTCCAATTGTCGAAATATCGAAGCCGTAGCATCCGTAGTCGAACATTTCGAAGATTATTTGCTGAGCTGGATCCGTGCGAACGAGACGAATAGAGACGCAGAACACCGTGTAAGTTACCGTCTACGAACGTTACATTTTTCGACACCAACGAAAGATTTTAAAAGTAAAAGTACAAATTAAAGTAGGTATTTCTCAAACGGAAGTAAACTGGCCGAGAAAGTTGAGGGAAGATGAATTCTTTGCCCCAAAGGAAATCTTATTAATAGTTTAAAACTTACATTCTTAGAATCGCAATAAATTTACCTTCTTTGAAGAATAAACTGCACTTGCATTATTTAATTAACAACGCTTGGTAATTGGAATCCCTTACAAGCAATTTGTTGTATTACTTTTTTCAATAATTGCTACTGCAATAATTTTTCTGGAAATTGACAAAATATTTAAACGAAATGTATAATAATAGTGAAGATCGTAAAGTTTCTTTATTGTTCTCAGCTTTTTAACAGTGTAAAATATGTTGGAAACTATAGAAAAAAGGAAAAATATAAATACAATTTATAGTAAAATTTAAAATAATGAAAGAGAAGAAGTATAAGTAAAGCTGGAAGTCAGTGACCAAAATTAAAAATTTTGTATTTAGTTTTGAATGAAATTATTTCAAGAAAAGATTTTTCTATAATGTTCGTTTTATCGAACATTTTCACATAAATATTAAGTAAAAGGTTCATTTGGCAATAAGCAATGAATATCAATATCAAATATACAGTGTGTCCAAGATAAGTAAATCTGTCCATCATGCGTATATTGGAAAACATAGGAGTTATGCTTAAATTGGAAAGAAAAAGGTTAATAGCCTTCTTTTGAGAAAACTAAAAAATTCCCATCACTTCCGTAAATACGTCAAAACAACCGAAATTTGCCTATTTTGTTTTTATTTTAAGTACGATACCACGTATTGAATAGCATTTTTTATTAAGAATACAACGATGTACGACACAATATGACTCTGCATTGTTTAAATTAGAAAAAAGAGTTTTTATTAAATTTTGAATGGTTTAATAGGTAGATCACGTGACATGTTAATTCGTTAAACAAATTACTTACTTACTTTAAAACATTTCTTAACATATCAGTTGTAATATTTTAAAAGGCTTCTAGAACTAGTCTTCTCAGTTGACTCTCAGTCTCCAAATGTGGCAGGCAAACATATTTCTTGCCATATTCCCATAAAAAAAAATCGAGTGGAGTGAGATCCTCCGAACGAGGGGACCATGAAACTTGTGGCACCTATCCATTTTTTCTAAAATCTAGCCGTAAGTGGTCCAAAACTTCTTCAAAATTTTGCTCCAGTAGGTTCCGGTAACGATCAAAGGTAAGAGAACCATTATAAAAAAGGACCTATGAAATTTGTTCGAAAAATCCCAACCCACATATTAAACCCAAATATTCAATGTAGTAGAGGATTGTCTCTTGCCGGTTAAACATTTCATTTTTGTTGGTATACTTTCTGACACTTCCTAATATACCATCCGCAAAATCTTCTTCGCTTTACTTCATCACCAGGTCTAAGCGTTTGACAAATTCTAAATTTGTACCGGTGGAATTTTTGTTTTCTCAAAATAAAATGAGCAGTAGATTTCGCGATTAGTTACAGCCAGCGATATATTATTTACTCTTTCTTCATTGCAGGGTTTATTTCGGCATGAAACTGGTTTCGTAAACGCACTATACTGCTTAAGATTTGTAGTTAATCTTCCAAAAATTTTGTACTCATTTGTTTTCTTTGGGAAGTTATTTAAATACACATATACAGTGTTTGCTTGAAAATTGTAGATAATGATTCAGTAGGATTACTAAGGGATTGTCGAACTTCCATTTCCTTTATTTGATTATTTCATTATTTAATTTAATTAATGTTGTTGTGAGAATTTAAGTTCAATAAAGGACAAGTATTTAAATCTAATTGATCGATTATACGACTATAATCGTATAAAATTCACTATCGAGATTGAACAGAATAACTCTATTAATTTTTTAGACTTAACTATTACGAAAACGCAAAACAAATTATATTTTTCCATTTATCATAAACCTTCACACACGGACACAGTCATACATAACAGCTCAGATCACCTTTATACACACAAAATAGCTGCATTTCACCCTTTTATCCGCAGACTTCTTAATACGCCACTCTCAACAAAAAATTACAACAAAGAACTTATATAATAATATCATTAAACAAATCGCACTGAACAACGGCTACAATCAGCCTATTATCGATAAAATTATAAATAAAAAACAAATCCAGACAACAGTAAACTCTGTTTATCCGAAACCTAATACAGACCGCGAACAATTTAAAACAATTACATACATAGGAGAACACAGTGAAAAAGTTTCAAAATATTTGTCAAAATGTGGTTTAAAAATAGCCTTCAGAACTAACAACACACTAGGAAAATCTTTAAAAAACAATCAAACGAAAAGCCCAAAATCTCAAAAATCATGTTCTACAGGTTGAAATGCGGATCTTGTCCTAAAATGTATATTGGACAAACTGGTAGATCCTTCAAGAAACGCATTAACGAAGATAAAAGAGCCTTTAAAAACAATAGTCTAGATTCTATTTATGCTACACACTTAACCACAGAAAACCACCTTGTTTCAATAAACTAATTATTGCTTGTATTAAATAAATGTACATATTTTTCAATCATTTGTTATTTTTATTTGTGGCAAATAATTTTTTATTTAAGCCAAATAAAAAAATTACAGGATTTGTTTACTTTATTATATCAAATAAACTAAAATGGGTTGAATACAAATAACTCAACCATTTATAGAGCAAAAACCCCCCACCAACATGACATTCCCCAATGCAACGCCGCCATCTTTTGTTATCAGTGAGGTAAATGCGGGGTCGTAAGGTTTTTAGTTGTTGGAGGCATTGCCGTAACAATTATTAAGGATATGGAAATATTTTGAATTTAAATATTTATTTAAATATATTATTAATTACGTAGTATTGCATGTAGATCAATATTATAAAGCCTAAATAATTCATTCATTTTGACACTTTAAACTTGTATGTTAGGTCCAGGTTTTCCGACCAAATATGGCCACAAAAAGTAGAAAATTAAATTTTCACGATCATGTAGATTTAAATAATTCTTTATTAAACTTAAACTCTCACATTAAATAAGGTTTTATTGTCTTTTCCGGTATATATAGTAGCAGGTAGTTTGTAAATATTACATTTGATAAAGACACGGTGTTGTCCAAACAATTGTCATGTAAAAATATGTAATTTCGTGAAAATCTGAATTATTAGTTCTTAAAAGCCACCTCAGTTCACTTGTATCATTGCCCGTCATCAGTGTTAGTCTGCGCTACTGCTTCCCCCTTCAACGGATAACTTCTCCTCAGATGAAAAAGCACTTCAATTTTGTATACCAAAATAGAAAATGCTATTTAATACAGGTATGTACTGTTTTCGTGGATTATATAAAAAAATAAACCTTTAAATTATGCAACTTTTTTATAATTTAACCTTAACCGTATCTCATGGTTTCCAATATCCTTATGATAGGCATCCTTATCTTGGACACACCGTATATGTACATTCTCTATTAAAAAGTTTTATGAATACGACTTCCGTAACGGCCACGCACGTATTTCGCCATTTTATTTATTATTGCCGCTTTTCTTTTCGTCTCTCTAATCAGATTCACAAAAGTTGCAAAATAAAATATTTCCGCCGTAGATCATAGTGACACTTAAAGCATTGTCTAGCATTGGTCTGATATCTGAGGATTTCGAGAGCGAACTTTTTGAGCTCGTTGAAGATCGAGATCTAGATATAGCTGTACGGTTGGCTGCAGTGGAAACTTTTCGGCGCTCGCCTTGCGAAAGGACCAGAAGTTACTTCGATCGCATATATCGAGATCAGCAGGAAAATAGCGAAATTCGGATAGCGGCCTACTTGCAGATGATGAGATGTCCAAATTATCTACTCGTTAGGACTATCGCTCGTAATTTGAGGCACGAGGAAGTGAATCAAGGTAAATTAAAGTAAGGTTGACGTGAAACCGACACCACTATATATTCTATTCTAGTTGGTTCTTTCGTATGGTCCCATTTACAAAACATCGTAAAAACTGCGAATCCGGTCAAGGTTGAAATTCAAAGTTTGCTGTCTGAGGAGGATTTGGTCCACAAGTTCAGTTCGGATATAAGAAAATTTTCCCACAACAGAGAAGGATCGATGTATTTTGAAGAATACAATTTCGGTAAACTACGTACATTAGACCGCAAAAATTCTCTGTAGAGCATACGGTGTGGAGTTTTATGGAACACAGTTTCGCCGCCCTATAAATTTTTAGTTTAAATCGTAGATTTTTTTTTCTGATTTCAAAAACATGTAGTTGTTCTGTCTAAAAATAATTATAATTCGATTTCTGTACAATAGCCATACTGTTTAAAAATGGTCTGCCTTGATAGCAACCATATTATCCATGTTTGCAATTGTTCTTCAAAATCAAAGATCTGCAGCATAAGTTAAATCACTGAACATATTTCAAAGGGATTATACTGGGGAAGGAAAACGCCAAATAGTATAATTATATTGTTCAAACAATTAAAGTATCAATAATTAATGCTAAACATTTTGCACATTACCTCCAGCATTTTCTATACTACGGACAATATTTCCTGTCAATTTCCTATTAATACACGAGGTGATAAAATCAGGGTTTTCTCTGTTTAGATCTTGTAAAACGGTATTAAGTCTTACTCTTATCACTTGTAAACTTTCAGGCCTATTATATTAAATTTTATTTTTTAAATTCCCCACAAAAAGTCTATACTTATTATTTAAATAATCGGTATAGACAACTATGATTGCCATATAAAATAAGAAAAGTTTCATTTATGAGAAAACGGAGAACTATAGAAAAAAATCTGAGTAGGCCACTGAATTTGTCTTTAAAAAAGAACCCAATAATGTGTTTATCCAAATCCAATGTTTTATTAAATAAAAAAGTTATGAGCAGTCTTATTCATTATATTTTGACACCCACCTACAGGGTTAATTTTGAAAAATAGAAAAAAAAGTGTAAATACAAATGTTTCAAGATTTTTGCTCTTTTATCTTATGCAAACGTCAGAAAAAACAAACGACGGTCGCAAGCTGTCAAAATTAGCTTAAAATTTGCTTAAATCTTATATCTTTTTTTCAAAATTTAAAAAACATTTCGTTTAGCCGTTTTTGAGATATTTCAGTTTAAAAATAATTATCATTCGATTTCTGGACAATAGCCATATTTAAAAATGGTCACGTCTGCCGTGATGGGAGCCATATTATCTATGTTTGCAATTGTTTTAACAATATTCTACTTTTGGAAACTAATCAAAATTAAAGGTCTGCAGTGTAAGTTCAATAACTTAAGATATTTCAAATACTGAGGAGGAAAAACGCCAAATAATAAAGTTATATTATTCAAACAATAAAAATATCAATAATTAATGCTAGACATTTTCTACATAACCTTTATTATTTTTTGTAGATCGGACAATATTTCCACTTAATTTCCTATTAATACACGAGGTGATAGAGTCAGGGTTTTCTCTGCTTAGATCTTGAAAAGCGATATTAAGTCTTTCTCTTATCTTATCTCTTATTGTAAACTCTCAAGCCTATTATAATAAACTTTATTTTTTAAGTTCCCCACAAAAAAGTCTATACTTATTATTTAAATAATCGGTAACCTGTTGGCCATTATGTATATATAAAGATGTGCCATCTTGACGCCAAATTAAATTTAAATAATTCCTAACTGGCACATTTACTAACAACTGTTCTGTTTCTGTCGCAAGTAAACGAAAATATCGTTGGCCATTCAAGGATCCTTCGTATATAATTGGTCCGACCACCATATTGTTCAACATACCACACCATACATTATTACATTACATTATTACACATTACATTATTATTTCTATCTTCTTGAGATCTTCTATACCTTTCAGTGCAAAATTCGAGCCTCTGCCTTTTCTATTCATGGGTTAATTTTTGTACAGGTGAAACTTATGATATTTTAGCGTTCGTTGGATTTTACAATAGGAGTTTCCGAATAATTTTTTCGAAGCCATGATGTCAAGTGCCTTAATAGTATAATTACCTTGAAAGTGAGGTCTTCATCAATATTTCTACCTATTGCTCCGTGTGTCACTATTTCGGTCCTCAAATTGTTTAATTACATTTTTAATTGTATTTGTTAACCCTTTAGCCCTTTTTTAACCCTTGCAACGTTATTCCCGTTTGAATAATACAATTTTATTATTTGGCTTTTTTCTTCTTCAGTATAACACATTTGAAATATCTTAAATTATTTAACTTACGCTGAAGGTCTTTAGTTTTGATTAGTTGTCAAAAATAGAACATTGTTAAGACAATTGGAAACAGAGATAATACGGTTGCTATCAAGGCAGACTTGACGGTTTTTGTCCAGAAATCGAATGATAATTATTTTTGGTCTGCCAACAGCCCCTGCCTAAATCCTTGTGACATTTTTTGTGGAGATACTAAAAAAATAAAATTTATTATAATTGGCCTGAAAGTTTACAAGTGACAAGAGAAGACTTAATATCGTTTTGCAAGATCTGAGCAGAGAAAACCGTGCATGAATAGGAAATTAAAAGTAAATATTGTCCAATCTATGAAAAATAATTAAGGTTATGTGGAAAATGTCTAGCATTAAATATTGATATTTTTATTGTTTGGCGTTTTTCCATCTCAGTATAACCCATTTGAATTATCTTAAGTTTTTTAACTTACACTGCAGATCTTTAATTTTGATTAGTTTCCAAAAGTAGAATATTGTTGAAACAATTGCAAACATAGATAATATGGCTGCCATCATGGTAGACTTGACCATTTTTAAACAATATGGCTATTGTTCAGAAATCGAATGATAATTATTTTTAAACTGAAATATATCAAAAACCGCTAAATATTTTTTAAATCAGGAAAGAAAGATTTACGTTTTAAGGCAATAATATATAGGGCATTCCATTAAAAAAAAAAGTTCTCTATTGAAATCGATAGTGTTAAGCTCAGAGTGATACCGTGGTAAACATCGATCCCGTATTTGGCAGCTATTTCTTCAATTTTATATTTGTCACACTCATTTCTGTATGCAACTTTAATTTTGTGTTAAGAAAACGCGAAACAGAACGAAAGGAGGGTTTCTTTATTTGCATTATCGCGAGAATCTGACTTTTAAAATCGCCATTCTCAGCAACGTTTCATCATTCCGTTGAATTCCATGTTAATGATAAGAAATCAAACAAAAAAAGAGAAAAATTTCGTATTTGGGAGTATTATAAGCCATTTTTTCTCATTTCAGTCATTAATAGTTTACAAAAAATAATCCAATACACTGAAACTATTCACCATTTATTATCTCTTTTACCAACATTTTCAAACCATGTTATTCTAATATTTGTATGAAACCAAATACATAAAATATCTTATTTTGTAGACCTCCGGGAATACCTCTATTTTCATCGGATTTTTGATGGTTGATTTTGCAATGAGTTTAGGTAATTCACAAAACGGTTCTGCGACTAACTAACAACTACACTTTATTCCGATTTTCTATCTCTTTTAATTCTTTACGACAATCCAGAACTAACCTTGTTATGATGCTATTTTGCTTGCTTGTCGATTGAGTGTCGGTGTAGACATGGATATAGATGTAGTCCTTTTATTTTTGCTTGAAATTTTCCATACGATACCTTTTTTGCAACCTGTTAAATTTTAATTTTAGTTTTAAAACTTTTTGAAATATATGAAAATAAGTTTTCCCAGCAATCAAAATGGACAAGAAATTATTTTATAATTACCGTGCAGTTTTGATTCAAAAACAACTTATTATTATTAAAACTTCTCAGCAGGACAGTAATGCCATTAAATAGGGGACTCCTGTTATATCGTGGCTGTGTAACGTCTTATAATAACTAATAATAAGTTCAAAGTAAGTCGCAATGGAAGTTGTGAAAACAGTTCCTTAAGAGGTAATATTGTTGCTTTACACAGAAGTAACAAATATAGACAAAACAATTTCACCAATCATAATTAGTTTTGGTTAGTTTATTACGACAATTAGCTTATAATAGTTTTAATTGCACCATATTTTTCTTGTCCAATTTTGGGCAGTGTAAGGCCCTTTTAAATTTTTAATGGATTTCCCAAGAAACAATTAAAAAAAATGTTTTTAACAATTGCTTCGTGGGAGCGTTAAAAATTTAAATATGGAGTCAGAGTGCTTTGAAATAAAACGTTTATTTTTATGCTAGTTGTCAATGTCATTTTTTGCTGAATGATTGTGACAATGCCATAAGTGTCAATTATCACTTAAAGAAAACCAACTGTTATGTGTTCGGCATATTCTTTGCAAAAACGAAACGCTGTAGCGGAATGTAAGGTATGAAAATCGTTTGGTGGCTTGAGAGGTAGACATAAATGATTCTATATTCGTCCAGGAAGAATAAATATGGAAGTAGCCTGATTTAATGGATAGTAAAGTGAGTTCCGTTTATGCATAACCGATGAAATGCCAAAAAGATGTTCTGCGAATCCTTTTAATTTTAGGGTTGCATCAAATATTTTGTTTTCTACAGAAATAACTTTAAGCTAAGATCTATTAAAATGCAAAATAATAAAATAACTCTCGACTGTCAACTACTAGGTAATTTAAACGTCAACTGCAACTTCAGATGTATAAATCGAGACGAGGAGATTCAATATTTCCGCTACAACGATAATTGGCATGCACATCAATTTGATAGGTGTATTTCTTGGAGCAAAATGATCACTTAGTCGCGATGCAATAACGCCCAGATGAACATGCGCTTTGTAAACGAGTTCCGCCTGAATGCAATTTTTTAAAATACGCCAAGAATAACAACATTCTAATTAGCGAAATGAAAGAAAAATACGCGGGTTCCTTTATCATCTGAGCCATAATTTGACATTTGCGGTTCTTCAATTACGAGAATACTTTCTCAAAATGATGGGATGGGATATGGGACTCGCGTTTATTTTACATCTAATGAAAAATTCGTATAGAATCTCATGGATCGCGGGGCTTATAAAATATGCACGATACGTTTCTTTCTACATCGGATGGCATAATTCATATTTTTTCTTCACAGGTGGCAACTACGAAAATAATGTTATATTTTCGCCCTCTTCCTACATACCGAGGTCTGCCATGTTAAACCTAACAGTTGATTTATTCGGGGAATCTGTCAACCTACTGGAGGTAATATATTATAAAATAATCACTGGATCTTTTTTTTTATCATATTTTTTATGATTTAAAAGGTTTACGGAAGGGTGGAGGGATTCGAACGTTATTTGGAATCGCTGTTTGGGCCGAACGGGAGATCCAGCGTTATTAAGGAAAAAATGGAGAATCTCAAAATGAGATGGACGAGAGGCGCTAAAGAGAATGAACTAATTGAGAGTAAAGTACACGCCCTTCCCGATGTTACCGGCAAAACGAAAGAGGAACCAAAGGTAGGGAAAATATTCATTTATTTCGCCCTTTCTCTCTCGATTCCGGGAGAAGGCCCTGGCGAACTATTTAATGGAGCATGTTTAACATTTAAAGTGTTTCATTTTTTCTTTTCCGCCTTCTATTTTTTACGTCCGTATCGAAACGCGTCGTCCGACATTTATAATATTTCAGACTGCGAATCGGATTATTTATGGCCGTCTCCTGCACAAACTATACGATATCGCCGTTTTATTACATTCCATAAATTATAGAAAAATGAATTGCTCTATGGTCGGTGTTTGTTTGATCGACGGATGTGTCTCTACCCAAAGCGTGGGAATCGTTGTTCACTGAAAATGTTATTTATTGTTTTAAGGCAGAAATTAAACCCTCGGCCTGCTTTACTCTCCGTCTTTAACGATTGGCGACGTTTATTATTAACCAATGCAATGTCTGTTCATAGATATAAGAAAGTGACTAACTCTTACGAATTAAGGAAAGACCCGGCCAAGCTATAAGAATGAAATATGGCCGAACAGGCCCGTACTTTGCTTAGAATTTAATTATTTGGGGTTTTGTTAGGAAAGATACTAAACAATATTTATTTATTTATGTATTTATGTTTAATTCTAAAATGAAATTACAAATTATTTTTATTACATAATTAAATTACTTAAATTATTCACATATCATTATTCTAATTATTATTCTAATTATTATTTGGTCTGTATTATTTGCAATATTGATATACGATTGTTCTGTTTTTTCTATATGTTTAAGAGAATTTGCCCAACTTTGTTTTCTATAAGTTTGAGGACATTGGAGTCAACACAGGGAAAAACATTGTTACGACGAATGGCAGATTTTAGTTAGTGCCAAACATGTTCAATGGGATTAAATATACAGTGGTAAGGTGAAAGCCTTATAACTGTATGCCCTAGTTTTTTTGCATAATTATCACAGATGTATTCCTGTTGTAGGTTCAAGCTTTGTAGAACCTCAATTAATTGCTTTTTGGTATAATATTTGTGAAAATAAATGTCGTTATTATATAGGTAGTTGTGGATTGTTGCTTTTGTGTCACATGACGAAGGGGTTTTAGGCAAATGTCTACTGTGATAACTTACATTGTCCAATACAATTACGCTATTAGGAGGAATGTTTGGAACTAGTTTGTTTTTAAACCAACTTTCAAATAAATCCAGAGAAGAATTTTTAATATTTTTCGCAGACGGAGAAAGTCCAACCAGCATGCAAAATAGTTATTCTTTACCTCTTTTTGATGGCGCGTTTATTTTACACTTATCAGTTGAGTTAACCCAGCCCTTTTCCGGGGTATCATAAGTTCGAACCAGGTTTCATCCAAGTAAATAATTGGCCTTTCTTGTTCTCGGTAAATCCTAATTTTGTCTAGATATTTCAGTAGCCATTTCCGAATTCTAAAAGATTCCATTAAAACTTGCCTTTTGTCAATTTTTTTAAATCTAAAACCCATGTGTTGAACACACTTCCATAAGGTAGTTCTGCCACAATTAACACCGGTTGCATCTTTTTCAAGCCTATAAATTAAGATATCTAATATAGGCAAGTGTTGTTCCTCGTATAACTGGTAAATTTTACGCCGTATTTATATCTTGATCCCTTTCATCTACACTCGAGAAATTGTCAGCATCGCTTCTTTTTTCCTTGCTGAAATGGGATTATTCACAATTTTCCATACAGTTGAAGTTCGTTCAATGAGAGTCAAATAAACATTGTTTATAACTTCCTTGGTCTCAATAGAATAGTGTTTTCTACATTTGGGCGGGAGCATCTCCTGAGATACACTAGACTCGCACATATTTTGCATAATTCGCACACGATTCAACACACGCTGCATTACACACGAAATAAGAATGATTACTAATAAACTTAAACTAAGTAGTATACCAAACCAAAGAATATTAAACACAAGTCGGTATAAAATTTTCTATAACGGACCACAATTTTACCTGAATTTAAATTCGGAAACTCTAGGTAATAATCTAGTTGCATTGTATGTTAATGACCAACCTTTAATAATCCCATTCAAAAGCGATTGGTCACTTTCTTATATCTATGAACAGACCATACTTACCTTACCTACCCCTAAGACAACTTCACCATCTGAAATCTCTCATTTTCACCCTATATGTAATATTGGAGGGGATTAGATATGATCAACTTAAAAATCATGTTGCTAATTCGAATATTTAGCCTGCCTCCCAATTTGGGTTTAGACCCAGGCACAGTCTGGCCCTAGCACTGCTTAATGCCACTGATGACCTTTTTATGACTCAGGAGGTGTCAAGAAATAGTTGTTTGATTTTGTTGGAGTATCTTGCAAGACTTAAAATCATAATGTTCTTATTTTGAAGTTAAAGTTCTTCGGTTTAAGCGACACTATTATACTTCGACCAGAATTATAGTGCTTTTACAACCGACCCCGTCATTAACTTTGCCTACTGTTTATTACACCAAAATCGCATCTCCATTCCAGGGCCGTCCTAGGAATTTATCTACCCACACTAACAAGCTGGATATAAGTATGTTTTCAGTCTTTTTTGACAATTTATTACGTTCCATGACACTTAAAAAATTGTCAATATTCAAAATAATTTGTTTAGCATCCGAAGACAAATGGATCCGTCTTTTTTATTTGCCGAAGTAGCTCGTCTTCCAAATTGTCATTAGGTTCGACTACCATCTACACTTGGTCTTCTTTGTTTTCCGCGTCTTCTTTTAACAGGGGAACATCTGCTTCATTCCACGGTCACCACAGTGTTATAAAACAGAAAACTTCAAAAAATGTTTAATTGTAAGATTCTAATAAATAATTATCTGTATTCTTATGACGTTCCTTTATCTAGCGCGAATATAATTTGTAGTCTTAAAAAAGACTGTTGTTGTTTACAAATCGAAGAATCGATAAATACGTACTTAATGGAAGGATCGCATTAAAATATCTCCTTAATATATGCGAATATATTGAGATTTAGATTATCACCTGATGTTAAAACAAACGCTTCTACTTATTGAAAAATACCCCGCAGCATCAATGCTTAATGAAATCTAAAACGGTCCATTTACGTTTCAAATAAACATTTGAAGTTTCTACAAATATTCGTTGCTGCCCATCTCAGGCAAAACCTACATATGCAGAATAAACACCGGTTGGGATGGGTTTTACCACTTTCTTGCGAAGGTCTGCGGTTAAGGTACTGTAAAATACTTCAAACGCCAAAGCAACAAATGCACTATATTTTTGGTGGTACAATACTTTCATGAAAAGTTACTTGGGAGGTCGCCGGCACAGGGTTACCTTGGGATCAGTGGTTTTCGACTTTCTACCAATTTTAAGGGGAGTTCGTCGGGGCAGCATTTTAGGACCTCTATTGTTGTCGATTTACACGTCTGATTTCTTCAGACACCTAAATAAATGTCATGGGCTCTACACTGGCATTTTTTAAGGCCATAGACAACTATGATTGCCATATAAAATAAGAAAAGTTTCATTTGTGAGAAAACGGAGAACTATAGAAAAAAATCTGAGTACGCCACTGCATTTGTCTTTAAAAAATGTCCCAATTAAGTTTTTATCCAAATCCAATACTTTTGTAAATAAAAGAGTTATTGGCAGTCTTCAAAAAGACCGAAAATCGAGCCGTTGATATGTAAGTAGATTTTTTTTCATCTAGTTCAGAAATTGGTTTCTCCTGCTAAAACACTTCAATTACGACCACCCTGCACTGGGTTATTTTGACACCCACCTACAAAAGTTTGAAGACTTTTGCTCTGCTATCTTATACAAATGTCAGAAAAAACAAACGACGGTGACAAACTGTCAAAATGGCAGCAACATCATATATAATTTGCTTAAATCGTTTTTTTTTCCTGATTTAAAAATCATATAGTTTATTGACATTTCATTTAGCCGTTTTTGAGATATTTCAGTTTATAAATAATTATCATTCGATTTCTGAACAATAGCTATATTGTTTAAAAATGGTCACGTCTGCCGTGATGGCAGCCATATTATCTATGTTTGCAATTGTTTCAACAATATTCTACTTTTGGAAACTAATCAAAATTAAAGATTTGCAGTGTAAGTTAAATAACTTAAGTCATTTCAGTTTTTGTTATACTGAGGAGGAAAAACGCAAAATAATAAAGTTATATTATTCAAACAATAAAAATATCAATAATTAATGCTAAACATTTTCTACATAACCTTCATTATTTTTTATAGATCGGACATTATTTATTTTTAATTTCCTATTATTACACGGGGTGATAGAATCAGGGTTTTCTTTGCTTCGATCTTGTAAAACGATATTAAGTCTTCCTCTTATCACTTGTAAACTTTCAGGCCTATTATAATAAATTTTATTTTTTAAGTATCTCCACAAAAAATGTCACAAGGATTTAGGCAGGGGCTGTTGGCAGACCATTCGATAGTTCCTTGCCTACCGATTAAAGGTCTATATTTATTATTTAGATAATCGGTAACCGGTACATACATATGGAGGTGTGCCAACTTGATGCCAAATTAAATTTAAATAATTCCTAACTGGCACATTTTCTGACAACTGTTCTATTTCTGTTGCAAGGAAATTTAAATATCGTTTCCATTCAAAGATTCTTCGTATATAATTGGTCCGACTACCACATTGTTCAATTAAATGACGTCCGTCGTCGGATTTTCTTCTTTTTTTTTCTTCTTGGGATCTTCTATACATTTCTTTTACGGTTGAAAGGTATGATATTTTAGCGTTCGTTGAATTTTACTGTAGGACTTTCCGGATAATTTTTTTAAGTCATGATGTCAACTGTCGTAATAGTATAATAATTTACCTTGAAAGTAAAGTATAATATATTGATGTCTTCATCAAAATTTCCTTCTATTGTGTGACGCTATTTCGGTCCTCAAATTACTTAATTACATTTTTAATTGTATTTATTGAAGGAACTCTTCTACCCGGATATGTTTGGCGATATTTTCTTCTAACCCTTGCAACATTATGTCCGTTTGAGTAGTATAATTTTATTATTTGGCGTTTTTCTTCCTCAGTATAACCAACTTGAAAAATGTGAAGTTATTTAACTTACGCTGCAGGTCTTTAGTTTTGATTAGTTGTCAAAAGTAGAGCATTGTTAATACAATTACAGACATAGGTGATATCTCAAAAACCGATAAATGAAATGTCGATAAATATAATGAATAACCCTGTACATACCGTGTAGACAATTGCGATATCTCGGAAGCCATTTAACTTCTAGTGCCAAATGACCAATTTTTTCATTGATTCTCCGTAAAAATTAGATTTAAAGTACCTGTTTCCAGTGTTGCTATTAACTACAATCGTATCAAGTCAATGTTTATTGGTTATTTGAAATAAATATGAAAATGAATTTACAACTATAACAAAAAAAGTACTACTTGTAGTTCGATTGAAAGGATGCGTATTTTATAATAGTTCTTTTAAGTCACACTGTACAATTGTAGATACATTTCAATGCATTTCGCAGGTATCATTCGGGATGCGAGTGTTTGGTAACGATTTGAAATATGCAACTTTAAGAGGCGACGACGAAATTCGAGCAGCTGTTGAAAGTTTCAACGTGTTAAACTACCTTAAACAAATTTTGTCGGGGAAGGTAAGTTTCTGTTGTGTTTCCTTATTATTATTCCGATTTATGATTTTGTCGACGTTAAAGTTTTCGCGCTTTTATAGCAGCGCGTTGGCTTTAACTGCAGGTTTAATGATAAATATATATACTTTTTTAGAAAAATAAGTTTACAAAAGTTCCGCATGGAAGCTACGCGAATCTTTTCTATGGCAGTTTCAGATAAATTGGCGAGTCGAGAACTTTTCCGAGATTGATATGATTCGGTGAAAATAATAATGACAATAACGAACAAACTATTTCACTTAATAACGAGGGTTAGGCTTGCGCCCTTATATCGGCAGGGATCGAGCTTATTTAATATAATTTCGTCTTTCGCTTCCGTTTTTCAAGAATTAAAACGAACTCGATGGTGGAAAAATTGTCGCGAATTATTTTTATTTTTAATTTCTTCATTTTAGTCGGGCCTTGCGTGACGAACAAAACACGCGCACGTTGGTGCTTTTTATTCACCCCAAACGGACGGGTTTTTATTTGGGATAAATACGGACCGACCCTTCAGGTCCGTTTTTGACCGCGCCGGTTCAAATTTATTTTATTTTTGGGCCCTATGTTGAATTACCTTACAAAACGTATTATCTTTAAAGTCCGAATTTTTTCAAAACTTTTTATTTAGGTTGTGAGCGTCGTACAATGTTTTTCTTGGTTTTCTTAATTAAATTTTTGGCTAAACACGCCACAGGATATCTCAAAAAAATCGTCTAACCCTGTTTCGGTTATTTCTAGGGCGAATTTCTTCTTCTTCTTTTTCTTTCTTTTCTTTGTACTCTGTAGTTAGAGACGTAGCTCGGAAGATGAGCTCCAGCTTTCATGCCATCTTATGAGGGGACGTCCAGGAGGTCTGCTCGGTCTTGGGAAACCGTCTTTGGCAATTTTCGGCAGTCTGTGGTCATCCATCCGTTCAGCATGATCTCTCCATTCGCGCCTTCTGTTTCGGGACCATCGTACAATATCAAGGACACCGCAGAGCTGCGTTCAAGCTTCCATCTTTTTTTTTTTTCAATTTTCGACTGTTTTTCGGACGTCGATATTTGGCAGACGAATAGCTCTTGGTCCTGTAACGGAAGCTATTGAAATTTGGGGGGGTTGGGGGGTCGTAAAGTATCTTAAGAAAATTAAAAAACGCGTTTGCAAGAGTCCAATAAAAAAATCCTTTCTCGAAAAAATTATTGAACTTGAAGACACATAAGATTCGGCTCCATAAAATTTTATTCCTGAGAGTTTTTCAAAAATGTACAGGGTGCGCCGCAAATTTAAAAAAAAAACTGAAAAATGGGACCCCTCTATTATTGAAAATTGGCTATAACTGAAAGACGGATGTCAGTCCGTTTAACATGGCGATATAGCCCTCATAAACAGCTAAACCTTTTGTATTTAAGGTTTTCACCTGTTGCACAGGGTGTTCAAGGTATTAAGTGCAATATCCAAAATTAACAGTTGTCTTAGATTTGCAGCTATAGACTTCAGTTTTGGCAGAAGGGTACAAATTCACACCCGTATTTCATCTATTGAAAAAGGACTGACTCAAATCTTGCAAAGTATATTTTAAAAAAATTTGAATTTTTTTTGTATATTTTGACTATAACTTTTATTTCAGGTATTTTTTCCATTATATACAGGGTTTTTCAATTATAGACATGAAAATCGTTCTTTTCGCTATTAAATTCTTAGCCATAAATCAAAATTCGTGAAAAATATGTCCAATTGCTTTAAACAGTGCTATAGGCCACATAGGTATAAGCCATAAAATTTTTGTATTTACGGTTTTCGTCTATCACATACGATGTTCGAGATATTTGAAAAAATCCAAATGAAAATCACCATTTCTTTCCCTCGATCTAGACGCGATGCCGTTATTTACTATTGCGGAGTACTGAATTGTCTCAGAAAACAAATATTTTCTCAAAAACCATTTACTCTATTGGATAAATTCATATACCAGGAAATGTGGGAGATCCAGGGCTATAACCTCAATTTCGAACATTGTTTGAATTATGTGTCGGGTGTGTCGTTTATGGATAAAGAATATAAAAGATCCTTAAAATTTCCATTTTTTGATAAATTATTGGCGATAAATGAAAAACTGTTAGAAATGAGATAATTTGATTTAAACAGTATCGTAAACTGTGTCGTGAAAGTCACTTTATACAGGATGCATGCACAATAAAATTTGCGAAAGTTCAATAGTGGTCCGCAGGAGCACGATAGAGAAACAATGCGACCCTCTAGCACAAGAAACCGCAAAACGGCTTCTTTTCAAAATTTACGCGCTACGAACTTGCCCCGCCCAGCGACGATTTTTCGAAAGCAATCTTGTTTCTACAGAGTATATCATAACGCGTCTCACACAGGTCCTATATATGCTGCCTTGGTTGTTTGACATTTTACTTCTTTTTGGAGATTTTTGCTGCTCGTGACGCTAGCCGAGGTAATTAAAACTTATGACCTGCTCTACGAATTCATTCAATATGGCCAATTTACATCTTCTGGGCGCCCTTGATATCGTTAGTGATATAGATTTTGCTACCGATGTCTCCATGTTGTACTTGGAGGCTATGTTTTCGAATTTAAAGAGCAATCTTGGTAGGTTGTCTTCATCTTCCGATAACAACACGGCATCGTCCGCATAGCAGCTTATCTTTATTTCTTTGTCCCCTAGTCGACATCCCTTCCCAATCTTCTTCATGTCAAAAATTAGATAATCCAAAATCAGATTGAAATTGATAGGGCTCAGGCTGTCACCTTATCTTATTCCTGTCTGCATGAATATTTTGCGTGTATTTCTGCCCTCCACTTGCATGCTCTTTCTCTCACATCAGGGAGTCTTACGCAGTCAAATGCTTTGGTGAGATCTATAAGACACATATACGCTGTTTTGTTGTATTCTATAGACTTTTTAGCAATCTGCCTGATTGTAAAGATCGCATCTATTGTTGACATATTTTTTCTAAAGCCTTGTTGCTCTTCACACAGCCCAGCCCATATTTCGTCCGATAGGATTTTGGTAAATAACTTCAGTATTGAGCTTAACAGCGTGAATTTAGAATTAAAAATTACTACCCTTTCAGAAGATTATTTGAAGTGAAGGTTATTTTTGTTTTTAGGTGAAATTTAACAAAATTTAATTTCAAATAAATTTACCATATTTCTGCTGTTTATCCGTAAGCTGAGTGCTATGTACCTTAGAAATGCGCGTGTGGTGTGGATACAGAGTAAATAATAATACCATAAATGCAAATCATTGTTTTCAGTGAAATTAAGGTTTTTTCCAGGGTTCCTCAGGGATTACACCCAATCCCTTACATCCCAAATTGTTTATGAGTGGGACTTGAAAAGTGTGTGCTTTAGAATTAATAGCTTTTATTTAATCATCAAAAATGCTTGTAGTGTTAGTTATACGCACTCGCTGAATATGCTTTGGTGTGAGTACACTTTAAATAAGGTTGAAATGGAGGTTGTAGCATTGGATATTTATGTGCTTTCCTTGATTGATGATTCCTTGACTTGGAAAGCTTAATAAACATCTACAATTTTTTTCATATGGATTACAAAATTTAAAATGGTTTTCTATTATCTCCCAGTTCTTTTAAATGACTTAAGCTAAACCCCATTTTTTGTAGTAAATAAATACGCAGTACGTATAGCATATAATCCGTTAATAATTCATAGAGTTTGTTCCTTGCCGATTGGTTTCTCTAAGCATTCAGCGATGCCTGTCCAAAACTAACTTTCAGCCTAGCATCTTTGCGCTGATGTCGCACCAAGACTAATAATTTTTGTCCTTTGGGCTACCCATAAATGCCAACACTCTCATTCCTGCGTAGTAACTTCATTTCAAAGGGCAGGTATGTAATTGATGCTTTAGGCATTTTGTCGGATGGCACCAATTGTTATTGTTGGTTCAGAAATTATTTACAAAAATACAATGGAGTTCATTTTACATCTTCTGAAGGAGGATGCATGTTTAGGTTAGCTTTACTGATCATGGTCAGGTTAGTTTAAGGTACCTTTCTGGAGAAACCCTGTAGATTGAATGAACATAAATATAAAAATGGACTGTGATGTTTGCTAACCCATTCGGAGTGTGTTCTTTTCTTTATTTCCGCCTTTCCAACAGGAAATCAACTACAAACACTCGGGGATGTTCCTGGACATCAACTACGTAGTACCCAGCTGTACCGGTCTACCCCTGAGCTTATCCGGACTGGGTACCGCATCCGTCGACGTAAAACTATTCGGTTCCTTGAAAGCGGCAGGCTTTTCCTCCAGAAAGGAATTAGATCTTGTCGCTAATATGGAGTCGGCAGCATCTATGGAGATTTCAGCCGAAATGTCGCTAAACGCTTTCTATGCCGGCACGGGTATCAAATTAAAAACGAATTTGTATACCAGCAGCGCCGTTAGGGCCGACGTAAAATTACGAGGGGCGAAATTAGTCAGTATTAAGTTCGGCATGCCGAAGAAAAACGCCAAATTATTCGGAGCAAGGTAAAATTTAATTAAATTATTAAATAAATTATTGCAGATTTGATTCGTATCGTGTCGGGATTTTTTTTTTGCAATTTTTCCCGTTAGAATCTCCAATTAATTCACATGTATCAGATCAGATAAACCATATATGGTTTTGAACTGAGGTGGCTTTTACTTGATGAAAATCCATTTAACAAAATAAATAAGAACTAAAAGTTCAGATTTTCACGAAATTATATATATTCATATGACAATTGTTTCGACAACACCGTGTCTTTATCAAATGTAATATTTACAAACTACCTGCTACTATATATACCGAAACATGACCATAAAGCCTTAATTAATATTGTTGTGAGAATTTAAGTTTGATAATGGAGAGGTATTTAAATCTAATTGATCGTTAAGCAATACATTTGAATGTCTCATTTTATTAATCTCCATGGCTTCCAATAAATTTAATTTCGTACTTTTTGTGGCTGTATGCAAAATATTAAAATTGTCGTCAAAAATGTGTTTTTCTGTGTTTAAGTGTGTATTATAATTAGAATCTAGACTATTGTTTTTAAACGCTCTTTTATGTTCGTTAATGCGTTTCTTGAAAGATCTACCTGTTTGTCCAATATAAATTTTAGGACATGATCCGCATTTCAACCTCTAGACACCTAATTTAAACAATCATGTATTAGCGAATATAATAAATTCTCAATTAATATATAACAACAAACACCAAGAAATTTCTCAAATATCACTGGTAAAATCTATCAAAAACAAAGCTTCTGAATATAATAATAATAATATTTACACATGCAGATAAAGGGAAAACAGTCATTGCTATCGATCTCCCAGAATATATTTCACAAACCAACAATTTTCGTAAACCAGACCTTTTGCAATGTATCAAACACGATCCTACCGACTTATGCCAAAGACAAGTCAAGGAAGTAATTACTAACTCTACATTAATTAGTGACAAAGACAAGTATTTTTTAATAATGATGGTTGTTGATTACCGCCGAAATTATATTCTTTAGTTAAATTACATAAAAAAGATATGCCCATTAGACCAGTCGTTTTTTAATTTACGGCTCCAACAGTTAAACGCTCAACAAAATTAGTGAATATTTAAAAATTCCACACAGATTTGAAACCAAAATTTGCAATAAAAAATTGTTTTGAATCAATCCACAAAATTAAAGATATCAAAATCCCTTCTAACGCAACACAATTGTCGTTTGATGTACAAAACTTATTTCCCAGTATTCCACCTATGGATGTGATAGACTTATTAGATTTCACCCTCACTCGGAAACATTTTAACCCATTGGCAAAACAAGATTTATTAGATTGCTTAATTTAGAATTAATTAGATTACAGAATTACATCTCTAAGGAAGGTTTGATTGTGGGAAACCCACTTAGTCCTTTGTTAGCCGAGATTTTTATGGATAATTTGGAGAGTATCATACAAAAACATCCTTTAAGTAACAGTTTTCTATGGTGGTATAGATACGTCTTTGCTTGCTTTGTTGGAACGGACTGACAATTGAGTTCATTTTTAAATTACGTTAACAAATTACAAATTGCATAATCGTATAAATTTCAATATCGAGATGGAACAGGATAACTCTATTAATTTTCTAGACTTAACTATTACGAAAACGCAAAACAAATTAGATTTTTCAATTTACCTTAAACCTTCACACACGGACACAGTCATACATAACAACAGCTGAAATCACCCTTATACACAGTCTTTTATACACAGACTTCTTAATATGCCACTCTCAACAGAAAATTAGAACTTAATATCATTAAACAAATTGCACTGAACAGCGGCCACAATCCGTCCTTTATCGCTAAAATTATAAATAAAAAACAAATCCAGACAACAGTAAACTCTATTTATCTGAAACACGAACACGAACAATTTAAAACAATTACATACATAGGAGAACCCAGTGAAAACGTTTCAAAACATTTGTCAAAATGTGGTTTAAAAATAGCTTTCAGAACTAACAACACGATAGGAAAACTAAAAAAAAAAGAAACGAAGTGTCCAAAATCTCAAAAATCATGGGTCTACAGGTTGAAATGCGGATCATGTCATAAAATTTATATTGGACAAACAGGTAGATCCTTCAAGAAACGCATTAACGAACATAAAAGACCGTTTAAAAACAATACCCTAGATTCTAAATAAGCTAGACACTTAAAAACAGAAAATCACATTTTTGACTACAATTTTGATATTTTACATACAGCCAAAAAAGTAGAAAATTAAATTTATTGGAAGCCATGGAGATTAACAAAATGAGACATTCAAATGTATTGCTTAACGATCAATTAGATTTAAATACCTCTCCATTATTAAACGTAAATTCTCGCAACAACATTAATTAAGGTTTTATTGTCATTTTTTGGTATATATAGTAGCAGGTATTTTGTAAATATTACATTTGATAAAGACACGGTGTTGTAGAAACAATTGTCTTGTGAAAATACGAACTTTTAGTTCTTATTTATTTTATTTCATGTATGGTTTAAATAAAATGGTTAATTTAAAAGAATAGAAATTTTCGTTGCTATTGTCTTTCTTTTCATTCATCGAAAGAGCGACTGAACCAGCACAGCAAATGACACCAAATAAATCTATTATTTATAATTTAGAATGGAATATTTAAATTCATAGCGCGTCGTTCAGTCCTCAAAATGAACGCGCGAAAATTTAATGTGACGGCTATTGAATTTCACCATCTCTTTGACAAAATATAGCTTTTTGGACGTTATCGTCAGTAACCAGAAGCGGAGACAGAAAGCTTTCGGAGTAACGGTGCTAAAAAGTACTCTGACAAAATTGCCATTTACCAATTTCCGAATGAAAGTTATAGTCGAGTTTCTGCTTACCGATTTTTCTACTCTTCTATTTTTCTAATAAACGAACGATGTCTGTTAATCTAAATCTTTGGGTTAGTTTTTTGGAATGATTATATGATTCCAGCTTTGATAAAAGTAAAATAAAATGTTTAAGGAGAGGAATGAAATGAATAAAATTGATTGAAATAGAATAGTTTTTCAAGAGATCTTCCGGAGTAATTGCAAATTGTCAAAAACATATTATCCGGCTTTAAAATAAAAGTTGAGAATATTCTAAAATATCATTTTCACCGTAATTTCAAACCCTGACGCAAAGAAGCACTAGTCTTCATTTTAGGGTATGTTTTGATATCTCATTTTGAAGTAAATAGTAAAAGTGTTTATTTCTACAATTAAATGGTTAGTAGGGAATGACAACAATATTCCTTCTATACGTAAACTATTAACAAAGACATATTCAATGTCATATTACACTTGGTGTGTGCAAAGTGAAAGGTGCAATTTTTTGTTGTTGGTACACATGTCCCTAACATATGTTCACAGTTTCAGCCAGTTTTCACGTTTGCTTTTTTTTTGTGAGACAGAAGCGTGTGATTGGTGATTTTCTGTTGTTAAAAAAAGAATGGAACAAAGAATTTGCATAAAATTTTGTTTAAAAATGGAATACAGTGCTGCTAAGCACTTGAAATGTCGACAATGGCATATTGTGAATCTACTTTGAAAAAAAATTATAATATAATTGTGATAATAATCTGTTACAAGATGGCCGAGAAGACGTCTCGAAGCGTTGAAGAAGTGAAAGAAATGGTATTAAAAAGTCGTCGAATTACTATTACAGAAGGCGTAGGCATCTCTCTTGGCTCGTGCCATGCATTTTTCGGACGTTTTGGGCATGAAACTCGTAGCAGCAAAATTTGTTTCGAAATTACATAATTTTTAACAAAAGGACTGCCTAAGGAGCATCGCTCAAGAGCTGTTAATTTGCTCAAAAAAGTCATACCTGGTGAAGAATCATGGGTCCTTGGTTATGACGTCGAAACTAAAGCTCAGTCATCCCAATGCAAGACCGACAAAGGGTTCCTCCCACAAGGTCGTACGGTCAATAATAAGTATTACCTTGAAATTTGCGAGAAGCAAACCGAAGAAAACGTCCAGAATTGTTTGAAAACAATTCATTGATTTTGCATCTGCTCACTCATCATTGTGTCTTACTTTTTAGTCAAAAACAAAAGCATAATCATGCCTCAGCCACCATATTCACCGGATATGGTCCCCTGCGAATTTTTCCTGTTCCCAAAACTCAAGAAATCCATGAAAGGTTTGGAAAGATCGAGGAAAAAATCGCTGGAAGAACTCGAGGTTATACCAGAAGGGCTTCGAGGATTGGAATAAACCTTGGCACAAGTGTATTATATCTGAGGGGATTACTTTGAAGGGGACAACATTAGTTTTGATCACTTTTTGATAAAACTTAAAAGTCACCTTACTTTTTGAACACATCTCCTATATTACATCGGAGACGAGCTGATAAGAATAAACGTCAGCCATAACAGTAAATAATTTGAAGTAATAGTTGCTACGTTGTGGGTGTCAGCTTAAATTCAAAATTGCTTCAAATGCAATTCGATTTGACAGTATTTTACCATATGTCAAGAGTATGTCAATCTTTATCATACAAGTTAACCCTAAAATTTTGTTTTGTTGGTCGCATTTTTCGTTTATCACGAAAACTACAACTTTATTTTTTTATTCTTTTTTATTTTTATTTTTTTTTATTTTTTATTATTTTATTTATTTTTATTCTAATAGCAAAGTGTCGGAAACTGGTAACCTTGCCAATATAGAACTAACTGATTAAAAAAATACAATGCTCCATTTTTTATCCACCGCGTACGTTGCGCCTACAATGTATTTTTTATTTTGCCTATTATCTGTTTTCACTCTTGCGGCGCTTATGATTTTGCAGTCGATTGTGTATAACACGGTTGAAAACGGAATATCATATTCCACGTCAAATTGCGATATTAAATGCTTCAAGTGGAGCTCATTCATCCAAGTTATCATCATAACGCCCAATAATTTCGATTTAATCGCGAAACTGGCGGCGTTAAAATCTGCCATCTAACACGACGTAACTCAATTCGCAACTTTTCGGACACTGGTTTGTTTCTTTACTGTAAAAATGAGGATTTTCTGGAAAGTCGTTTTTAAAATTGGCTCATAAAAATTTTAGCCTAACAATAGAGTATGGAAGAATGCAGTGGTTAGTTATTAGTTCACGGCAATAGCAATTTAATTTCTAGAGTTATGAAACTGCCACAGGCGTCTGTAATGTTATTCACAAATCTTCTGAATTGGAAGGAGAATCCAGAAGATTTTTAAATAGCAAAAAAACATGTAAGTTGTGCATTTTGTCTCCGTATCCCCAATTTTTCGGATTAGTTTTGAGTCATATTAGAAAACTTTGGCGAAGTCATTAAGTGCTGATAATTATTGACGTTATTATGATGCGCATCATAATTATCAATTAATCAATCCGATTGGACTACAGGCTCTTTGGTGTAATGTGAATGGTCTCTTCTTAACTGAATCTGCATTTAATGTTTTTAGGTGCCTCTTTAGACCAGCAGTGGTCTCATAATAGACCTATTATTATCTCGGTGTCTTTTTTCTATTTAATTGGCCTTTGTTTAAATGTGACCAATGCATATATTAGGATAGAAACAGATCATTTATTATTTCGTGCATAGCAAACTAAAACTCAGTTGAATTTCATTTTATTTGTTTTTATTTATTTATTAATTCCAGCTCATTGTTTCTTCTTGGGTTTTTGAATCGTTGGGGCACAAAATTGCTTCTGCCATTCGTTGTTCCAATCTTCTCATAATGAAATTTGTGTACTCTAATGTTTGCCAAATTCTTGTTTGGGCATGGAGCTATCTATCTATTTATATCTTTATCTTATTGTTTTCAAGGTTAGTAATAGTTATTTCACTGTCTACGACCTTCAAACAAGATTCAATATAACTTCAGTTGTAGTTATAAATTAGATACTTAATTTATGTTTCATCAACTCTCGAACTCTATTTCGTTGTGTCGAGGGTTCTATTTTCGCAAAAACTAATAGAGAAAACGAAAGTGTCGCTAGAGTATTGTCATGTTTCTGCCGTTCGCCTTGAAGCAAAAACTTTTTTCATTACACCTGAACCGTCCAATTCGTTAAGCCAATAATTGTTATAAAGCTTCAGATCCTTTCAATTGAGTACTCAGTGCCTGTGGGGGTGTATCAACTTTTGTCGGTGAAAGCGATAAAAGCGTAACGTTCTTACGTACGCTTTTTTATTAATTAATTAATTAATAATATAATTTTAGTATAATAATTATATAATATATAATATAATATATAATAATAATATAATTATATATTAATAATATAATAAAAGATGAATTTTTATGTAAAATATTTTAACAGAATTAATTAAATAAATAAAATCAAAGTTTTGCAAATATGAATAATCGGATTCTAACTTAACTTATAACTTTAATTTTAATTAATTTGTTATTTATTAATAAATGAATGGCTTTAGAATGAATCAAGGATTTTACTTTTAATTCGAGTTATCTCCATTTATGTGTAGGTGATCAGGATATAATTTGTTTATGTTGTGCCTATAAATAAAATATTAAATTCCAAGATTTATAAACCATGCACTTTTGCATACTGATATTTTACTTTTTGAAATCATTCGTTTCTTCTTTTAAAAATATCATACGTGTTTTTTTTTGTTTGTTTTTGTTTTTTTGTCGTTTGTTGTTTTTTTTTATTTAATCTTATAATACAGCCAAATATGATCAAATTTCATAATTCATTTTCGATAAAATTTATACTTCCAAAAATTTTATTTTTAACTGTTATCAATAGAACACTTGATATTTTTAATATTGCGTAAACAATCAAAAATTTTGAAAAGCAATAATAGCGTTAAATAAATTATTGGAAATATCGAGATATTGTAATTATCTAAAATTCTTCATTATTTTGTTCTAGTGCCATTGTTATGAAATCAATTTAGTTGTAGTTATATTTTCTTTCAGTTTTTCGACTTTTTTCATTTTGATTGTAATTTTCCGCGTCCTATTCCAGGTCCGAGTTATTGGTGAGGAAAACTAACGTGGAGCAGAAACAAAGAGGCCTATCGGACTCAAAAACATCCAATTCAATATGTTCCTGGTCCGGGTTTTCTGATGTTTTCGGACTTAAACTGTGTACCGATTATAGTTTCGTTAACGTATCGAGAGTATTGGACGCGCCATACTTCTTATTGGCAGGACCGGCTGAGTTTCAGTTGTATATTAACAAATCGGATCCCACAGCCGATGTATATTTATTCGAGTATAAATGGAGCCAAGCCAAAGATGTAAATATGCTATCGTTAACATTCGATACCCCCGGTTCCACCGTTAAAAGATTGATCCACGCTAATTTTACAATCGATAGACAAACGCAGAATTTAACGATGTTGATTCAGTCTTCTGCAGGCGAGATGCTAGCTCGAGGGATATTTAAAAACAGCGATGAAGAGAAATTCTTACAGGTAAAAGTTGGCGTTGGTTATATTTTACGTATTAATTGTGCCACGCCTCTTATAGGTAGTGCTAGACATCAATAATAAGAAGCACTTTGACGCCAGCATTTCTTACGAACGACTTGTTAGGACGAACGGATACATTTACAAACCGAAGGTGTATCTGGGTGTCAACGGGGAACGAGTCATGGAACTGCAAGGTACCGGACGTCAAAAAACGTTCAATATTTCGGATGGATATGGCCGAAATAGTGCCTACTCTCTATAGACACTATAACTTCCTCCTGTAGAAAACACACATTCGTTCATTAAGCTGGTTACGTAGATGATGAAAGCTTTCCCCTGGTTTCATTGGAGGATAAATTGTATGCTCTACTTTTTCTCACACTCTAGGAACAAATAATTAGGAATTAAACATTCTCCTCTTAGTTTTTTGGGAAATTAGGTCATTCCATAGCACTGGGTGTAATTGACGTATAACAAGTTTTCTTTTATTAATTGTGTTTTGTACGTCCACTTCGTCTCTTCCGTCCGCTGTTATAGTCACTCCTAAGTACTTATACTGGTTTGTTTGTTTAATAGTTCCTACATCAGTGTATAAATCTTGTCCGTTTATTACAATAGTCATGTAGTGAGTTTTTTCCATATTTATTTCCGGGCCCCATTTCTTGTATTCTTCTACAAGCTTTCTAAACATATAGTATAGTTTATATCGTCCTCATCTTCTGCTAATATTACTTGATCTGCATATAATAGACTGTAGATGGACTCACTGTTCACCATTACACCCATTTTGCTGCATTTTCGTTTCCACTTCTTTAGGGCCTTATCTATGTAAATTGGTATCATATGCCTTCTCAAGATCCATAAATATAAGGTGTAATTCTCTCGAGCAAGCTATAGTTGTTTCAGGCAGAAAATGTTATCGGCACAGGATCGTCCCGCCTGGAAACTATTATGCTCTTCTCGATCTTCAATTTCACGTCCATACAGTCTATCAATAGAGGATGTTACACTTATCCCCCTGTAGTTTTCGCATACATTTTTGTTTCCTTTCTCATTTATTATCCCAGAACTGTTAAAAATGTCAACCAAAAGCCTCGAACGATGGATAAATCTCCATAAATTTTCACCTTCGAAGATAAACTGCTGCACAAAATTAACACAAAGTCATAAATTTGCAACATTTTATGCTATTTTTTTTCTGAATTTATAATTCGATTTCAATGATTTTTTTTGCATTGTGGGTTGTTCCTTCATAATGTCATAATTTTCGCTGATAATGATAAAAAGTTCATTTTCGATTTATACCGGGTGTAATAAAAAATAACAAAATTGGCGAGTTATTTTTTTTTAATAAAGTTATTACAATATTAAGATTACATGTGAGTATATTAAAAACAATCTTGTTCTAAGATTACTATAATGTTAATAGCGTATATGCCCATCTCTACCTCGACTCAGTGCATTCTTACTCCTCGGCATACTGGAAATTAAATTTTTAATTCTATCTTGTTGAATATTCTCTCTCTCATTCTGCAACTGCTGCACTCACCAATTGATTGTGGTTAATCGGCACGGGATTGCGACTTGGAACCTTTCTTCCATTCCATTCCATAGATGCTTTATGGGATTTAAATCGAGACTTTGAAGTGGCCATCCATCGATGGAATAGTTACAGAGTTCTTGTAGTCTATATCTTGTCTGCCGCGTGGGGACGACCATTATCCTGCATAAATAAACCATTCGTCCCAAAAAAGCCTCCACCAAACGGAATTTTTGGTGAGATATTGCAACTTGCAAATTTCTCTCGTGCCCTTCGCTTAACACGTTTACGGCCATCGAGAGAATTGAGACTAATTCTCGTTTCATCAGAAAATAAAACCGTATTCCAATCATCAACATACCAACGTTGATAATTTCTGACAAAACGCAATCTTGCAACTCTGTGTTCTCTGGCGAGCAATTGTCTTTTTGGCGGTCTTCTGTTTCTTAAACCAGCCTCATTTAAACGTCCTCTGATTGTTCGAAACAGTTCTAAGTTACTTTTTAGCCTAATACTAGTGTAGTGTTTAGTAGTGTGTGTAGTGTCACATTAACAGCGTGATACATTGAATACCCATCTTACACTAAAGGTAAAGCTTTTACTGCTTCTTCTTTGGTCGATTCATTTTCAATAATAAAATAATCGTCGGTCAACTGGGCAAGCGAAAAGAACGTTTAAGCAGTTTCCGAACCGGTGGTCTTTCTAATTTTGAGACATAAAAATCTGTTGATAATTCGCTTGAGTCTCAGAAAAATTCAAGAATGTACTGAATCATAAAGTCTACAAGAACATGTTGCGCTATAAAACGGTGTATGTTTTTCAATAATAATTGAACTAACCAAAACTACCAAAGAAAATGCTGGCGAAAGACGGAGCTATCTTCTAATGTCAACTGCTGCTCTATACTCCACAGGGTGATACGAGTTTTCGGAAAAGCACATAACATTTTTATTACACCCTGTATATATCGAAAATTAACTTTTTATCATTAGCAGCGTGAAGTATGACATTGTCAAGGAACAACCCACAATACAAAAAAAAATCATTCAAATCGGATCAAAAATTCAGAAAAACAAAATATCAAAAATGTGGCAAATTTATAAATAAAATTAATATATTTCTTTAGTTACTAATAAGACCTTAAAATTCCTCTGGAATTCCTTCTGTACTCTGCTCTACTCTACTAGTGCTTTACTATACATTGTTCTGGAATTCTTCTGAAGTTTCTTATGCACTGTACTCTTCTGTACACCAGAATTCCCCTGCGGTTTACATTCCTCTTCTGGTATTCCTTGGATTATTGTAGATATTCCTCAGATTACCCTGGAATTCCACGGAATTCTTTTCGAATTCCTTCTGTACACTAAAATTTCTTTGCTCTTTTGTCCTTTCTTTTGGTATTCAAGGATTATTCTGGAAGTTCTCGGATTTCTTCTGGAATTCCTTGTGTACTACTGTACTTCATAATTTCTCTACAGATTACTCTGGAATTCCGCAGAATTCTTTTCGATTTCCTTCTGTATACCAGAATTTCTCTGCGCTTTTGCCCCCCCTTTTGGTATTCACGGATTATTCTGGAATTCCTTGTGTACTGTACTCTACTGTACTTCAGAATTTCCTTGCGGTTTACCGCTTTCTTCTTAGACACAGACCTCGTGTTCTTTATGCTGAAACTTTATTATCTTTATCTTTATCAGGCCACTTTTGTATTTTTAATCCCTGCCAAGACACGTATTTATTATTATTTGGGTAGAATCTTCTATCGGAGATTTTTAATAAGGGAGTCCCATAGGTCACTTAGTAGCAATAAATAATTAATAACTAAACAATGAAATGAAAAATCTCGTTTGATACGCCTGACTTGTCAATAAATAGGTCTCTCGGGTATTCCCAATTCCCGGGGCCACCTTCCGCTCATGCCCAATCGACAGGGTTGCGTTGAAGTGGTGCCGAGGGGCACTAATTTTTAGCGGTCGTTCGTCATATTCAGTGGTTCTTCTTATAACCCCAACGGCACGCATGGGAATGATGCCAACATCGCATCGCTGTCATACCCGATTTCCAATATTACAGAAGGGCCGTGCTGCCGTATTAATTGGTAGCATACAGGGGATCTTGCAAAACGATATTTTACCCCAAATAAAGTCTATAAAATTACATGTCTATTTGAATTTAATACAATACTATACTGGGTTTTTCAAAAAACGTTACTTTCATTTATGAGGCAAGTAGAGTGTTAAAAAATTGCGTTAGTTTGGTTAATAAACATGAAAATGCGTCCTGTAAAAATCGTTTTTTGTATTACCTAAATGAAATTTAAAAAAAAATTATCTTTGATTTTTGATGAATTAATGTTTAGAATTCTTTACGACCATGTTACTTCGTAGTTGTTTCTGAAACAATGAAATCAAATGTCGTTTTTGCCGAAAGAATTATATACCTACATATAACATTTTGAATGGCACCCCTGTTCAAAATATTAAAATTTTGTTAGCAGATCATGACACATTTCTTCCTCTAGATTTTTTTTCCATTGCTTCTTCGACGTTATTCCCCTTGCCCCTCTCTAGCCTTTTTCTGAAAGTATCCATTCGAAAATATTTCTTTACCATCTCGTCTCATCCTTTCTTTTTACATATATAATGTTTGTCTCTATGATCTCCGTATTTCTTATCCACTTCGTAGATAATCCATTCCTGGGGCCAGCAATTTTTATTTCAATTCAATTTTTATTTTTTTTTCCACGGACAACAGTAATACTACTCAGGCAGCAGCAAAATAACGTCATTAACTAGTCACGAAATGACGGAAATGACGTTATATATGACATCAGCAGGAAGTGAATGTCACCTCAACTTCAAGTCAGGTTTTGGTCACTAATGTCGAAATATATATGGATTTTCGACACATTTATGAATGACCCTGTATATTTGAAAATAATTATAAATTGTTTCTTTTAATCTAATCTATACCGTTTGCATTTCACATTTTTCTCAAAATCAAATAATAAACGAGATATATGACTTCCACACACTATTTGAGCGCCCTCTAGATACATTCTCCTAGTCATGGTTTTAAATAGACATTCTGAGGTCATTTTTGTGATGTTAATAAGACATCCTTTTTTGAGGTCAATTTGACGTCTTTTTCGGACCACTGACTGGTAGCGACCACTTATGACTCGAAAATGACGTCACAAGAGCCTCGGCTACCTAGGTATTTAAGTATCTTCTGGATCTGCTGACGTTTCGCCAATCATATTTTTGGCTTCTTCAGAGCTTACTTGATTGGTGAAATGACAGCTCGTTTGATTTATAAACAACCGACTCGGGAGGTATCCAGATGTTTTGTAAATAGTACCCATACTTTTACATTTTCGTTTCCAACCTTTCAGGGACTGATCTAAATATCAGTCCTTTCATTGTTTTGATAAATTCACTTAATGATGTTCCATTCTTGACTTCAGCTTTGTTTTCCTCGTGATACTGTTGGATTGTCCTGAGCAATGTTGATCTAATAGTGGGCTTTTTATACTTTGATTACAGAGACGCTATCATACGCTTTTTCTAGATATATAAGCCCTCAAAAGTATTGGTGGTCTAAATTTGCTTTAGGTATCTGGAGCTCTTTTTACCAAGGCAATTTCGGACACATATTTCTTAAGCAAACACAAATATTGTATTTATCCTAAAAACTGGTCGACCTTTTTTTGAAACATTCTGTATTTATAATTATATGTATGATGCCCACCTAATAGGTCGACCATTAAAAATTAAATCCAACGGGCTGTTTGTCACTTGGATTTTCTAAAACTATAAAAAAATGGTTTCACTCATTGGATGATATCTTAATTTTTTTACCTGGATTAAAAATATAGAAATTGCAACAATCAGAGCTGCATATTTAAGTAATCAGTAGACATATAGAGCTTGTTGTAATTGGTATAATTTATTATAAAAGAAAATTCACCGAACTTCTGAAAGCATCACCTGTTTGGTGTAAGAAATTTTGATGTTGTTATGGAGAAGTTTATGCCGCCTCGTAGGACTTCGTAAACATTAACCAATGCGCAATATTCAGTTTGTAGCGTATCGTCAGGGAATTTCGATTCGTTTGCAGGTGCGCGCATATAATTTTCTCCAGAATTGAAAATCAATTAATCAAACCCGAAGACAATACGGTAATGAATTTCGATGTTAATCTGTTTAAACGTACTAATTCATGATTCTGATGAACATCGCACGACACATTGGTTTCTAGTTATCGGCTGTAAATGCAAATGTTCAGAATCGCCTTGAAAATGTGTGCTTTAAACCGACGCATTAAGATTTTGTGCTTCATTTTGACTAGATCAAATATTTATTAAATCCACTCAGCTAATCCATGTTTTCCTTTATAATTTAGTGCTTACTTAACAACTTTACCTGCTTTAATAAGAAAAATAGTTATCCTAAGAGGACGAAAGTGAAAATACGATGTCATGTTTCTAATGTGGGAAAGGGTTACTAAAATGTTAAGGTTTGCGTTGACCTTTTAACAACTTTTGTACTTTAAACAAAAATATCACCAGCCAAGCATGTGACGAACTAATTTTTATCATAGGATATAGTACAACAAGGGTTTGTATATTTATTGATTTACTGAGATTTGATTGTGTCGAATTTCTGGTCAATTCATCTACAAAAACTCTTCTTATCCAAAGATATCATCACCAGAAATCAATCATCTAATCTCTTAAAAAATACATGTTTTGTTCCACAGTTTCTCAGTTTCTCAGAAGTCTTGAAGATTTTTGCCTTACTTGTAACTAACTATCTACTAAGCTTAAGGGGTTCTGGTAGGTAGTTTCCTTGATTCGATTAGTCATGTCACATACTAAAAATTTTACAAATACCACCAGAAACTTATCGCCTCATCTTTAAAAAATTAATTTGGAACAAAAACTTTCCGTTCCTTCATTTTCTTCACGCTGCTCTCATTATATAACTCTATATACAGGGGGCGATCTTTGGGTTCATTTTCAAAAGAGAACTTCATATGAACATATGTCTTAACTTTTGAGATACAGGGTGATAAATTTTTCAGAAATATATAAATATTTTTTAATATCTGTAATACTACTTTAGATATTTTAATGTTATTTGGCACACATGTGTCAAGAGGCATTATTTAGTGTAAAACAATCTATTTAAAATACATCAGTGGCGGGCGTAGGAAATTTCACCTTTTTTCTGGACAATATCATTAATATGACAGCAAAAAAAATTTAAGAAATCAAATCTGCTCATAAATATGCGTTGATGTTGGTTATTTTCTTGAAGGAAATCAGTGGCGTGCCACTGCCTGTATATGAACAAATAATAGTTTAATTAATTAGAGAACTTTTTTTGTGAAAAATAAAATATCTATCTAAAACAAAATATCTAGTTTTACTAGCTACCAACTAGTGTTTTCAGAAAAAAAAAATAGAAGACTGTTCTTTTCATTTTTACAGCTTTAATAGCATAACATCGTAATAACAAGATAAATAATAAACGATACTTATTTGAAAAACAAGACCTACTATTAATAATTTTTATATAAAAAGCTTTCAAAAATGCACCTTGAAGTTTAGGTACTTTAAGTGCTGATTGGAAATTGCAACAATAATTTTTATTTTAAGAGAAATCAGTGGCGTACCACCAATGTCTGCCAAAATAGACAGATGAAATTCTGTGCGCCCGCCACTGGTGTATTTAAAAAAAAAGTGGTACACTTAATAATGCCTCTTGATACATGTGTGCCAAATTTCATTAAAAAATGGTATTGCAGATATCAAAAAATATATATTTTATTTTTGAAAACTCAAAAGTTACGACGTTTGTGACATATGTTCATCGCCCCCGTAATTGTTGACATTCAATTAGAAAAATCACCCTGTATAACTCCCTTTCCAAAAATAGTGTAGATACCGTAAATATCTGAAAAGTTTCCCTTTAATTAACGGCGTCTGAATTGATTGAGATTGAGGCCAGCGGATGATAAATGTATTTATTATCATTAAAAGTCGACGCAGAAAATCCATGTTATTTTTCCTCCGAAATTTGCCGCGGAATTTCAAACTGACTTCGTATGTAAATAGACTTTAAAGTGGCGGAAAAACTCTTACGGCAACTTTGTTCAGAACTCTAAAGAACCTGTTTTCCATTTTAGGATCAATCGATTACATAAGCAAAAAAGACATTTCCCAATACACTGTGGATTTAAAGTTCCACACCAAAAGATTAACTTCGAAGTTGTTCGGGTACATATCGAAAACCGAATCGTCCATAGGGGCGGATTTGCACCTGGACTACCGATTTCAACACACTAGGCAACACAGGGTGTCGTTGAAATTTAGTCTGGCCAATAGATCGAGGAAAAATATCGCCATCATAATCGGAACTTGCGATGTCCGGTCTTCCGCTTATCCGAACGTCAATTTTAATACGAACGTCACTTTCCAGGTAAATGCTGAATTTAATTGAAAACGATGGGAAAATATTTATAGGGAAATTTTGTGTTATAGAGGAGCGGCAGTCACATGGAGTTTAAAATAGGTTTAATCCAAAATCCGCTTCCATTAAACGACCCGAATTCCGAGTTGGAAAGCCTTAAATTCGATTTTATATTTTCCCATAAATCCTTTGCCGATAGCAAGCAAACAATTAGGGCCGCGGCCGATATTAAAAGGAAATCTAGTAATTTGGATCTGAAAGGGATGATATTGTACGAAAGTATTAATGCCGACGTAAACGTGGAGTGCGTTATTAACTATGGAAATAATAAACAAATTTCCGCAACTGTATTCTGGTCACACCCGCGCGCCACATTGGAGGAGATTAGGGCACATGTTAACCTCACCCTCCCCACCTTCTCCCCTATGCTTTTGAGCATTGAAATCAGCGAGAAAATGAGCAGGGATTATAAAGTAAGTTTAATGTCATTTTACAAATGTCCAGTCTTCATAGATTTGGTATAATCTAGCGCCGTCAACTCGTCGTATATGTTTATACTACAAGCAGTATAATTAAACTTAACATAATTTAGTGAAATAGATTTACTGGATCACGAGAAAATGGCTCTATCACTATCACTTGCCAAAAAACAGACTTTCGATACTATTTTTAAACTTTAAAATACCATCATTCTTATTGGACATAAAGTGGATTTTGACACAGTGATAATATTGAAAATGAAACCTTGAGTAAGTTAGTGGTTCGCAGGAGATAATCGATTGGACAAACAAGTTTTAAGATGTCGACTGACACGGTTCCTCTTAAATTTTGGAGTATGATGGCTTGGGAGAATATACTCAATGTTTCGATTCCATGTCAATTTGCTATCCAAGTATGGATATAAATAACAAACTGAAGTCCACCACTTTAGCCTAAGAGATTGCTTTTAAATTACCTAGTGTTAAGATTAAAGTGTCCCACAGTTTTCTTTAAGCTTGAAATATATTGCGATTATGGAAATATTTTGTATGGTGTTACTTTTCTGCTAGTAATTTTTTTAAATATTGGGCCTTCCAGATGAACTAACCCCAAAAGTTAATAATGGTAAGTAACAAAGTGAAGTCGACCACTGCAATCTGAAAGATTGATTTTAAATTACCTAGTGTTTTCAAAATCTACTAAATTGTCCTACAGTTTTCTTTAAGCTTGAAATACATTGTGATTATGGTGATATTTTGTATGGCGTTACATTTCTGATATTTTTTTTTGTACATTGGGCCTTCCAGATAAACTAACCCTAAAAGTAAATATTGATTAAATTAAATGTATTAATGGAAGAAAAAAAACGAATTTTCTCCCAATAAGATACTTTTGCTGTATATAGTCTTGATATTTTTGCTAGACAGACCTATTCACATAAGTTAAGAAAAATTTCTAACTACCAGGTGTGTTCAAAAAGTAAGGCAATTGGGCAGGCTACGTGCATTCGATCTTCGATATTTTTTTTTGTTATATTGGTACATATATATCCCTAACATATGTTCACAGAATTTTCATAATATTTTGTGTAAAAAATTAAATACTGTGTTACAAAACACTTGAAATGTTGACAACGGCATACGATGAATCTACTTTGAGCATAAAAATGTTTTCTTTGATTATTTTCTTACCACAAGGTTGTACCGTCAATAAGCAGTATTACATTGAAGTTATGCCCCGTTTGCGAAAAGCAATTCGAAGAAAACTTCCTGCATTGTGGGAAAACATTTCATGGTTTTTGTATCACGATAATGTACCTGCTCGCTCATCGTTGCTTGTGTGTAACTTTTGGCCAAAAACAAAACCACAATCATGCCTCAGCCACCATCTGCGAGTTTTTTCTGTTCCCAAAAATCAAGAAATCCAAGAAAGGAAGGAGGTTTGCAACGATTGAAAAGATAAAGAAAAAATCGCTGGAAGAACTCAAGGTTATACCAGAAAGGGGTAAGCAGGCACAAGGGGGTGGGGAGATTACTTTGAAGAGGTCAACATTAATTTTGATGAATATATAAATACTTTATGATAAAACTTAAACGTCTTTTTGAACACACCTCGTATATCAATCACACCGTTACGTACATATATCAGGTTTTTACAAATGCTCTACCATACGCAGCGAGACACTCCAAACATTCCATAAGATATTAAAATATTAGCAATGAATTATTAATATGATTTACTCTTTTATTATGTTTTATTATTTTGGAGAAAACCAAAATTCAAAATAATTTGTTTTTTTTTTTTTGGAACACTTCTAGTGTTTGTGAGTCTACAGCAATAATATATATATATAATTACCTATCTGACTTTGCTTCTTAAGCTTGGTGTCTATGACACGTTCATTCATTTGCATTATTTTTAGTTGAATTTAAGTGGTACGTGGTTCAGTGGACACAGCGCCCATGCGGTCGGTTATTACAAAGACAAGACGAATGCGGCAGCGTCCAACTACCACCTCAAGCTGTTCATAACTTCACCAAATTTCGAAGACGTAGACGCTGACTTGCAGTACTATAGGGACAACGGAATTCTAAAAGTCGATTTCAAAGTGAGTAATGAATCGTCAACACATAGTCAACCAGGAGCGCGCTATATTTATTTGCGAAAATGGGAGTGAGTAATTGGAAAAGTATAAGAGATCATTGTAGGTTAAGCAGTTAAATAATAAAAAGATACACAGAAGGTAGGTGTGTTAATAGTCAATCTATTCTTGTGTGATTGTAGAATTCAAAAGTTTAATAAGATATCGAGTGCAGATGCTTAGTTGAAATCTAATGAAGTTCAATATTTTATACCAAATTAAATTTGTGCAGAAATCTTATAGTCAACAATATTCTTAAAGCAGATCCCAAGTTGCTAATCATACTCTATAACGCCTATGTGCTGTCCCATCTTGAGTTTGCCGCTGTAATATGTAGTTCCAAATATTATAAGCATTTAAATAGAATTGAAAACATTCAAAGTGCACATAGATAATTTGATTTGTCGCCCAATTCGTTTCGGAAAAAATAAATAAAAAATAAACACTAAGGTTCAGGGCAAAATTTAACGCTGTGATTTTTATTGAATTCGGGTATTGCAAAAATTTTCTTGGCTCACTTTATCCCATTTATGTCAACAGAATTTAGCAGAACACGATAGCGTTTTTAATGCTATATATACATTGTATAATAATTAAAAATATATTTTTTAAATTTTTTCTTGAGATATTCGATTGGTTTTTTTCGTGCCTCATATGAAAAATTGATATTTATTTTTGCGTTGACTAAATTTTATTTCATAGAATTAATAAAATTTCGTTAATAAAAATGAGGTTATTTCCAATTCACTTCGCCGGCACTATATAAGCTTCGTGACAATATTTTCCCATTGACCGAACCGGTGTGTCGAAGAATTCGATATCATATAATAAAAATTCTTAAACTGCCTTCCGACTTCTAGGAAACTCGACGTAATCAAAAAATGTTTTCCGCATGTTCACAAATCGCGATATACCCGTTTTATAGGTAGACACATCTAAGCAGACTGTATTCCCTGCAACACCATGTTACTGACTGCGTGACTATTTATCCACGTCGCTTAACATCAATATCTTCACGGTAGATTTGCATTTCTATCAATCGAATTGGGGACGTCCGTGTAAAACGTGGTAAAAACACTCCAAAGTTGTGAAATGGATTAAATCCGATTCATGGAACGTCGACGTCATTACTTCCCGTTTAGAATATCAAATATACAAAAGCGATTCGCCCCTATACGACTCTAAAAGCTATAAATGTTCAGCTTTAAAACGATGTTGAAAATGTAAAACAATATCTATAGGCATCTGAGTAACAATAATTAAAACATTTCAATGTCTAATTTGCGAAAAAGTTTGTAACAGTTAGCTTGAAAATAAAAGTTAGGCTTTACTTGACATATTAAACATATGACAAAATGCTGGATGTGATTGCCAAAAGGTCTTATCCGATAGGCACCTGTTGCGACTTAAGTCGCCTTTTCTGTTATGTAACTCGACTTAGTATTAGGGATAGGTGTTGAGTGCTGTGTGAGTTGCTATCTAATTTCATTTTAGTTGGTTTTGGTTACTTTCTGAAAATCTTTTTATTTCATTTTAATTTTTTTTTGGTATATTTTAGTTCTTGAAGTCAGAGAAAATCAAGGAATTTTAATTTTTCTAATTTTTTGCGGTATAACATAAATACATCACATTGCGAGCACATTTTTTAATAGAGGTTTTTCAACCTGCTTTCAGTGGTACAATAATTTTTGGTTTAAGTAAGTGGATTTTTAAAACGACTTTTTCTTTTCTTCATTTGGTTTAGGTATGATTTGGTGTTTCCAAATATACATCTATATACATGCGTATTATTTTATAATTATTAAAAAAAATGCTTAGTTCAATTAATAAAAATATATGTGAATGCGAAGATGTCAATTTATATATAAAAACCATCGTTTATGGGCATATAAATCTGTGTTTTTAAAAGATCACGATTTTTTGTGTCAATAGGGTTAAAAAAAAAATTGTGCTTGATTATCATTCTAGAAGACTTAATTATCAGTTTGCATGATCTCTTTAATATAAACTGGTGGACATTCGAACCAGGTTAACAAAAAATTGTTGAGCACTTTCAAGGCATATTTGGAGAAATATTTCGATATATGGAGTCTCAATTGAATTTTTCCCTGTCTTTTTTTTTTTCAAAAATTTAACATTTTGGGAATAAGAATTTCACACCTTTTAAACCTAATTCCCAACAGGCCGACTGGACCAATTAGTGAATTATATTAATTTTAAAAAATATTTTCGAGAGAATTGTATATTACTTATAATTTGAATTTTTTTATTTTTACCCTATAGAGTATTTCTAGACTGATTATGATGGGTCACTTAACTGTTCATATATCTTATTAATTTTAAGTGTCTCAATTGAAATGAAGGTTTTCCTATTCGGAATTTCTAAATTGAGAACAGGTTTTCTATGCGATTTATTTATCTAAACGCAGGTTTTGATTTTCTGTGAAGAACTCCTATTTTGGGCGTCTGAAAACGAGCTGTTTCATTCTGTATTTCTGCATTCTGCATTTTGGGTATTTTCAACCGATTGCTTAGGTCACTGATTCGATGCCATTTCACTTCTGGAAACAGTCCAGAGCTTTTTCTTATTTGTTTCGATTGTGCAGAAGCTTATATAGCGCGAGTTGAAAAAACTTGCATATAAAATTAGGATTGATGGTTATAAATAAGTTTTAAAACGCTGCCTTAGTAACCTGCAAAGTAGGAATGGCTCCATTTGAAGGAATTTTAAAACATTGTAAAAATGTATGAAAATTTTCCACGTTTTTTTTTTGTCTAGTAGATGAGTTTCAATAAAAATATTAAACCGTGATTTGTACAATCGAGAGGGTAAGTTCCGAATTTAGTTAAACTACCGGTATCTGTTCCAGGCAATACACGACAATAACGATTATCAAGTGTTTCTAAACCACAACACAACGGCGACAGACGAAACGGCAACCAATGCTAAACTGAAGTACAAAACCAAGTTGTACACCCTCGACACGCTTGTTAATACGGGAGAACATATCAAAGTTACGGCCGAACTACATATTGACCAGTAAGTTGTCTAAATTTAACGCTGTTATCTGCCATTGCGTTTCTATGATCAATCGAAAGCCGTTAGATACGGTTACGCAATTATGGGAAATGTTGGTAAAACAATTTGGTAGGGCGCGTTTTGGTGCCCTCACGTATTGTCTGTTTTGTACGTTGAAATCAATTTGTGTCAGATACGATTATAGTAGATCTCGGACTAATTTTCATTTCAAAGGGCAACACGTAAGCTTCACGGTGCTCATTTGTTTGATTCGTATAAAAGTCATGCCCATATGGGCATCAAACATATTTCAAAGTAGAGCAATACCCAAGTGAATACCAAAAAACTCAGTCTTTCTCCTCAGTTTTTTTGTCGTTTAAAAAAAAACACTTTTTAATTTGTTGTTTTTGGTTGAAGTCGAAAAACAAAGGTAATAACGTTTAGATACCAAAATTTATTTAGCTCGGTGCCCTGTATTTACGGTGAAGAATTCTGAGCTTTCAAAAAACGCATCTAAAGGCCTGAATATCGTTCACATTTAAATAGAATTTAAGAGTTATATTGCAAGCCTTGTGATATATGCTCCTAGATTTTTTACCTTTCACTGAAGAAAAGGCAAATTTTAATTCTAAACTGTTTTTAGTATTATGCTAAGTAATTTTTAAATGCTGGAAACATATTTAATGACAATAGTTTTGGCCAGCTTGAGAACTCAAATATATATAAGATTATGAAATTATGAAGTATTTTTTTAAAATTTTTGTTTTTTTTTTGTTTTTTTATTTTGGCTTCCAGAACCATTCATCCGATCGGAAAAACTTTACAACCGTAATACGTGAGAGATCCGACGCTATAATTTTTGCGTCACGCATTTTTTCGATTATTACTGGGTGTTTTGTTCTTTTAGGGAGTAAATTATTAACCGCAAATCAAAATTCGTACAAAAAATTGCTGATCCTTTCAAACATTGTTATAGGCCGTATCAAGCGCTACAATTTTTGTATTTACGATTTTCGTCTGTCATGTACGCTGCTCGAGATATTTGAAAGAATCCAATAGAAAATTGCAATATCTCGCACTCAATCTAGACGTGATGACGTCATTTACTATTTCGATGTCCTGCATGGTTTCAGAAAAGATGTATTTTCTCGAAAACTATTTATCCTATTGAAAAAATTCATATACCGGGAAACGTGGGAGATCTAGGGCTATAACTTTTATTTGGGGCATTTTTTGGATTGTGTACAGGGTGTGTCGATTATGGGTTAAAAAAAACAAAGAGATCCTAGAAATTGCCGTTTTCGTGTGAAAATAATTAGCCGTAAATGAAAAACTATAAAACATGGCATAATTTGGTTTAAACAGTGCCGAGAGAGAGTTTCAAGTTTCGTCTATCATACAGGGTGCTCCAGATATTGTAAAAAATATAATTGGGAATCGCTATTATTTGTAAAAAAATTTGAATTTACCAAAGTTTGCTGTAACTTTGAAGTTTCTCCGAGATGTGAAAGAAACTTCATCCAGGGTGCATGCACAATAAAATTACATTTATTTTGCTAAGTTCCATAATGGTCCGCAGGAGCACGATAGAAAAACAATGCGTCCCGCTAGCACGAGAAACCGCAAAGCTCCTTCTTTTTAAAATAAAAAGCTGATTCGCGCTACGCGCTACGAACTTGATCCGCCCAGCCACGATTTTTCGAAAGCAATCTTGTTAAATATTTGTTTTTTCCTACGCCATTGAAATTCTTTAACGATTTTGTTTGCTCTTGAAAATCGGCTAACGGTCCCAAAAGTTGGAAAAATAAAATTTTCGGCGTTGTTCTTTTAATTTATGCTGTTATTAAACTTAATGAAATTAAGACGTTTAATTTGGAGTAAGCACCCACCCAAAATACACACAACGATTTTCTGGAGTCCCAAAAGATTAAAGACTTAAATAGCTTAAAATATAATTTTGCTTCAAACTGTATTTAATGACGTATATTTAGGAAGTTTAATTGGTATTGTTCGTCTTTCCAGGCTTCGAGATATAGACTTCTCCTTGTGGATTTTCAACGAAGAAACCCAAAAGGCTCTCGGGTTTGACATAAACTGGGACGCTAACCGCGATCCCAATCAGAAACTACTGGTCGGCACCAATTTCACAAAATCAGATCATTTGAATTACAACGCTGATTTTATAGTCAGTTACCCCGGACGGACTATTCTTGGCAAATACGAATTTCTCTTGCAAAGTAAGACCACACTTGTTTAGCCTATTACCATATCGAAATAGTCGCTGTCTTTAGTTGTAGTATGTCTAGTTCTCAGTGTCTAATTCTCTAAAGAAATAAATGCGGTAATATCACTTTTTATTATGGCATTCTAACAAACAACATTGAAAAGAATTTTACATAAAAAAAGAAGAATGAACTGTGATCATCATGTACAATAACTCAAAATCACTTACCTCTCACATTTATGATATTATTTTTATAAACAACATTGAGAAGAATTTTACATAATACGTCATGTGCACTATTGATATAAACAAAATTTAGTAGAATTTTAAATAACGAAAAAAAAATGAAGTAACAAATGTAATTTGGCATGTTTGAACAAACAATACCCATCATCAAGTAGGTACATAAATATATCCGATATACGCAACGGATGCGTTGGGCATCGATTTATTTGCTTTGACGGTGGAAACAGAAACGTTTCGCCGTTGGAACCGGTAATTTAAAAAAACGCTTCGATAAAATCGGTGGTTTCGAAAACTTACGCTCAGCGTAGAACTTTCGTTTTGATTTGTTCCCCCTTTAAAAGGTCGCAGAATATTGAATTGTTTATATTGTGTCAAAACTTTTATAAACTGTCAAATTGACGTTAATGGTAAACCCGATATGATATGAAAAGTTTAATAGTTTTCGTTATTCACAAATCTTGCAGGTATATTTTTAATGGACCCAATTCGGTGTAAATATTTAATTTTTTTATTAACGATGCTTATGTGTCAATTGCCTTATTGAATATTGATTCGCTGTTGGTTGATAATATAATTCTGTGGTATCATTTGAATAACTCAAGCCAACGATTTTCGATAATCTATCAAACCAATTAATTGCCACAAAAATAACTGTACTATAGAAGAGATTTAACTCTTTCATTGTGTCATTGGTTATAGTCTCAGCTCCATTTTAAAAGCATAAACTCCCAGAAGTAGCATTATATTTTATTATATTATAATACAATTAAGAAAAATGTTAAGTTAAAATTTATATTGTTTAATTTAATATGAAAATTCCATTTCCTTCTACAAGTAAATTAAATTAAGATGGAATCCCTTTCACATAAAGACAATTTCTACAACTTCTTTCAATTTGAAAAAGCTTACTTAAAATTTACGTCAGATACATTCTTAATTGAATCAAGTTTTGTAAATATTTTAATTGTCTATTAATGATACTTATGTTTAAATTGGCTTGTTATCGCCTATGAAAGTGTATATTAAAAATAGGTTGATAATATAATTCTGTGACATCATTTGAATAACTCAAACCGATGATTTTGCACAAACTATCAAACCAATTTGGCACATAAATACTATACTGTAGAAAAGATTTAGCTCTTCAGTTGCGCTGTAGTCAAGGTTGATAAACTCATCTCTATTTTCAAAAGCATAAACTACGAGAATTGGCCTTATATATTTTTCAAATAATTGAGGATTATTCCAATTTGGGTTAGTGTCAGAAAGAGCAAATTACAATACAATTTGGAAAAATGTCACCTACAAGTTATTTTTTTAATTAAATTTAAAAATTTCATTTTCTTCTACAAGTAAATTAAACTAAGAAGGAATCTCTTTCACAGAAAGTTAATTTCGTGGTATTATTTGAATAGCTCAAGTCAATGATTTTCGGCATACTATCAAACTATTTAATTTGCACAGAAATACCATACTGCACAAGAGATTTAGCTCTTCAGATGTCCTGTAATCATGGTTGATAACCTCAGCTCTATTTTTAAAAGCATAAACTCCCAAAACTAGCGTTATGCTTTTTTCAAATAATTAATGATTATGCCAATTTGGGCTACAGTCAGAAAAGGCAAAATATAATACAATTTAGAAAAATGTCGCGTTAAAATTTACATTTTTTAATTAAATTTAAAAAATCCATTTCCTTATACAAGTAAATTAAACTAAGTACAGAAGTACAGAAAGACAATTTCGATAAATTTCTTTCAACTTGAAAAAAACCAACTTAAAGTCTAAGTTTGAAGAAATTTTTAAAAGTTTTAATTAAAAATACATCAGTATTATATATCAATAAATATAAAGTAAATAAGAACTAAAAGTTCAGATTTTCACGAAATTATATATAATTACATGACAATTGTTTCTACAACACACGGTGTTTATGGTAAATGGAAAAATCTAATTTGTTTTGCGTTTTCCTAATAGTTAATTCTAAAAAACCACCACACACGGACACAGTCATACATTACAGCTCAAATCACCATTATACAGACAAAATGACGGCATTTCACTCTTCTATACACAGACTTCTTAATACGCCACTCTCAACCGAAAATTACATCAAAGAACTTATTATCATAAAATAAATTGCACTGAACAACCGCTACAAAATTATAAATAAAAAACAAATCCAGACAACAGTAAACTCTATTTATCCGAAACCTAATACAGAACACGAACAATTTCAAACAATTACATACATAGGAGAACCCAGTTCAAAAGTTTCAAAACATTTGTGAAAATGTGGTTTAAAAATAGCTTTCAGAACTAACAACACAAGAGGAAAATTTTTAAAAAATAATATAACGAAGTGTCCAAAATCTTAGAAATCAGGTGTCTGCAGGTTGAAATGCGGATCATGTCCTAAAATTTATATTGGCCAAACAGGTAGATCCTTCAAGTAACGCATTAACGAACATAAAAGAGCGTTTAAAAACAATAGTCTAGATTCTAATTATGCTACACACTTAAACACAGAAAAAAAGACATTTTTGACGACAATTTGTTTGTTTACATGTTTTACATATAGCCAGGAAAAGTAAAAAAAAATAATTTATTGGAAGCCACGGAGATTAACAAAATTATACATTATTAAACTTAAATTCTCACAACAACATTAATTGAAGTTTTATTGTCAGTTCTCGGTATTTAAAGTAGACGGTAGTTTGTAAATATTACATTTGATCGGTATTTAAAGTAGACAGTAGTTTGTAAATATTACATTTGATAAAAACACGGTGTTGTCGAAACAATTGTCATTTGAAAATATATAATTTCGTGAAAATTTGAACGTTCAGTTCTTATTTATTTTCCTAAATAGATTTTCATCAAGTAAAAGCCACCTCAGTTCAATTTTCAATAAATGTCCCTTTAGGATTAGTTTGGAGATTATCTTACTGTGGCTGCGGAATTTTCTTTCAAACTAGGTTATTATTTAATCATTACATCAAAAGGGGCATAAAAATGTTAATACTACATCAAATCCACGCTTGTGAGCGAAATTGCCAAGCAGTGTTTAGCACTTCGAACGAATATTGATTCAATGTTTTTTAAAACTCGCCATTACAAAAGTTAAAAATTTCAGAGGGCCAAATTGATATGTTAGCCAGCGTTTCGTGGGACGACTCAAAATCATTCGCAATCTCCTTAAACTCCGTTTACAAATACGAAGAAGAAATCTATCTGGAGATATCGTGTAAACTAAACACTCCTTTAGATCAGTGGAGAAATACTCGACTAAACGCGGTGTAAGTTAACATTTTGGAACGTTTAGGGATCAATTTCACTGAGTGCAACGATTTTTTAGGTTTGAGCATTCGAAAAATAAATACAATTTTAACGGTGTGCTTTTCTGGGATGTCAGGCAACAAGTAGCTATAGATTTGTTCGGTGATTATTTTACCCGAGGGAATAAATTGGACTACAAGTACGCTTGTTCTGTTTCTAGTACCTTGGATCGTATACCCGATTTGAACACTACCATCAAACATTCCCAGAATGGAACATACTTTAACACTAGCGTTTATTTAAAGGTTAAATTTGATATTATCCTTCCCCAGGTGTTTTGAGTGCTATCGATTTTTGTTTCAGTACACCCCAGAATTCTTAATCGATTTGGATAGTGCTTGGGTACTAAACGAGAATGAAAATTATTCAAATTTAACCGGAACCGTTACCACCCAAACACCCTTCAAAGGTTTCCACCGAGGGGTGTTGGTGAGCAAAATTTACTTCACCAGCGACAAATATTTGAGAGGCGTCGCCGATTTAGACGTCGACCATCAAAAACTGATAGTCAACATGGAGGGGAAGTTTAAAAGGCTGATGGATAGCATGTTTGTTGCGAACGTAACGAGCCAAGATGAAATGTACCAAGCAAAATTTAAGCTCTCTAAAGCAGAGAAACATTTCGTTGCATTACTGACGTACCCTACTGGGAATATGGGTAGCGAGATTTTGCTTCAGATAACAAATCTGACTACGTTCGATGCGAAATTATTCCTGGCGACCCCGCTAGAATTTTTGGAGAATTTGATTATTGTGGGTAAACTGCAACAAGGACAGGTAAGATTGTTGAAATAAAGCGTGCTGACCAGAATTTATTTGGACATATACTGCGTGACATAGAAATTGCAACAGCTCCCGCATTTTGACGTCATACACCTAACGGCCTTAATAGTTAATATATTTTTACTTCTCTATAATAACTTATTATTAAGGTTTACAAGGAGCCAAGATGTTTTCTGAAAGATCTTAACTTATCGAACAAATTCCGCGGTGAAATATTCTTGCGACGTCAATCTTACCGATAAGCATGGCCAAGGTAAAAAGGGAAAATGTGCGGGCTTTCAAAATAATTTTAAATTAAGTTGTTTTTATTTATTTTGCCAAAGGCGAAGTCCTATTAATTGGATCCACTGCAAAAATCGATAATTTCAAGGACATCTTTGCATTGTGCCATCAAAACAATTCCAAGGAAAACTTTCTCCCAGGGTTTTCTTTTGTCTGCTTTTTCCTCTATATCTCAACGTTGAATTACACTGACTTTATTTGTAACTGGCTGAAAATATATCCTTGAGTTACATCACATAGCAGTTAATATTGTATATCAATACCTGGATGAAACTACTATTTTTTTATCCAATCTCGGTGACATCACAATAAACAAAGGGACAAGTAAGGTTAAGGTTGTTTTGTCATTTAAGTTTAAACAAAATTAATGTAACATGACGACCAGAAATGGAGTTGGGTCAGAAAGGGTTGGGTGTGTAGAAATCGCTGTTTACAAAGAAACAGAAAAAAATCATTCTCTTCCCTCTTGTTGTAGTAAGGCCACTATATTATCTAATAGTTATATGAGGAAACTCAAATGGTAACCAAATGCAACGTCGGATAGGTGAACATAGGGACGTAAGTCGTGAATACATTTGATTGAGATTTTAAGAATCGGTTTGGCCAAATATGAATAACAAACTAGCTGTTGACAATACCTTCTGCGTCGGTTACTGGAGGAGGAATCCAGAAGTTTTGTAAATAGTATTACAGTAGCCTGTGGAAGTCCCTTCGAAAAAAAATCAAAAACAAACAAACTTCTCGTAAGTCTTCTGTCCTATCACTATTCACAGACGTTCAACTAGCCTTATGGTTGCAAAAGAGGAGTTGAACACAATTACAAAAAGTTTAAGTTCAATCCTACGACACTGAAAGTAATATTCAAATACATCCGTTAATAATATGTCTGTTCCTTAGCAAGCAATAAATTAAAAAGTTTTCTACACTTGGAAGTAAAAATGGTATACAAGAAAAAAGCAAAAAAAAATCATAAAAAACATCACAAAAACAAAAGAAAGCAAACATCAAATCCCACCCTGCAGTGTGTTACCTGATACACACAGTCGTTCTCTAGATTGTACTTCCTATAGAGACGTTTCAATAAGTTTAAGCTTAAGTATTTTCATTCTTTCGCAACTCCATTTTAAGGCTTACAAGAGAAAGAGATTAGCTGTTGCGGTTGAGGCTATACTTTTGGAGCCTTTGTGTTCTGTGAATGTCACACAAATCCAAACAGGGGCCATATGCAGTATTACAAAAATTGAAGTTCTTTAAAACGAATCAGTCAACTTTGTTTGTAATGACTTTAACAACAAAAACCCTATGCAATCCGTATAATATTAACATAAAACGAAGATTGGTATCGAAATCTAATTTCTACCAGTGTTGGAGCATTTTAATTTTTCACCTTGATTTTTTATGGGAAAAGTACCTTTAATTAAGTAATTTAATTTATAAATTATGATTATTTCAAAACTGTTAATCATTTATTTCATTCATTTATTAATTTATTTTGAGTTGACGGAAAAAATGAAAAGAATCATCTGGGTAAAGGTGTACATTGCGCATAGTGAATAGACAGGCCCAAGGATCGAACCTTGTGGAACACCACACGTAGTTGACTCCGCAGATGACACAACATCCTTAAACTCAACATATTAAAGTCTGCTACTGAGATAATTAGTTAATAGGCGTAGAGATGTCTCTCAAGAAAACCAACGAAATGTAAAATTGCAAGTAACAACTATTTATTTAATTTAATTAATTAATCTTCGTTTGACTTTTATGAGCAGCTCATCTGTGACATTTGGTAATGCGATCGCACAAATAAACCGTTGTCTAAAACCTGACTGATTTAAAGGAAGTATATTTTTGCAGATTCTCTCTAATCAGATAATTCATTATTTTTCCAATGACTTTTGATAATACACTAAAATTTGAGATTTCTGCCTTTTGGGAGAATGGAATTACCTTCGACATTTTCCACTTCTCCGGAAACACTAATCTAATCTAATCTAATAGACAGCAATTGACAATATTAGTCAGAAAGAATAGAATTCTAGCACAACTCAAAAGGATCAATTCCTCAAACTTTCTAACATTATCTTCGTCAACTGTATAAAATTCAAATGGTATTTTAAAATAAGGTCATCAGTTTGTGTACATATGCATGAAATGACATTTTAGAATTCAAATCGCCAAGTTCTTTGCTATGGATCTGTATGATTACAACGTCTAAAAACTCCTTCTCACGAAACTACTAATCATATTAAAACACGAACTATTTGTTATTTTATAGTGTATCGAAAAAAACTATGGCGAAGTCAGACGACATTGTCTAATTTTAAATGGAAAAAATGGTTGAATAAAGATTCACTTATATTAGGTTTGCAAAAAAAATGCAAAACGATGTTTTCAATACCCAAAGCTAAAAAATCTGAATGGCACTAAACAATGTGAAATAAAAGTTTGTTTGCAACCGAACTGACAAAAATCTTACGACACTGCATGCAGCTGACGTATCAAAACAAAACATTATAATTGAAGCTAGGTGTATACTGGGTGTTACAATTTCAATGACGCGGGGTATAGGTCAATAGTCAATCATTGTAATAGGCAAACTTGTTTGATTAGATGGGGGACCTCATTAGAGAGGCTACATTTTCCATGGATTTTTCCCGGACGAGCTTTAGCTAATAAAATTTCCCGCTGTACTTTCAGGCAGACTTCCGCATAGGCTGGAATTCCTTATTGTTAGGATTCTCTGGGGTTTGGCATTATGCTAATATCATCGACTTCGAATACTCCTACAAGATTTACACACCTATAAAAGATTTTGAGGAGAACGGCGTAGTCGGCAAACTCGTACTCAAAGTGGGCTTGGATTTTGAAGTTTCACTCAAGTTATCTCTTTATAAGGTTTGTATAAAATTGTTTCCTAGCGCAGTTTCGGCGGTTTTAAGCAACTCGAATTTTTAACCAGTTCATACGATTTAACTTCGGCAATCGTTTGATGCGGTATATTTTGTTGATGTTTGTTGCTAAATTGCCGAATATCACTTTACAAGTCAATACTCAATAATAAATAACGTCAAAACAAATAATTTTTAAATACATTTTAATTTGAATTGGGTTCAAGTCACATTGTAGTGAATATCACTGTAGTGAATATTACTTTACAACTCAATACTCAGTAATAAATAGCGTCAAAACAAAATTTTTTTAAATACATTTGATTTTGAATTGGTTTTATGTTACATTGTAGTGAATATCACTGTAGTGGATATCACTTTACAACTCTATACTCAATAATAAAAAGCGTCGAAACAAATAATTATAAATATAGTTTATGAAAAGTATTTAAGTTTCCCAATGCATTTGAGCAGATAGGCATTAAAAAACAATCTTAAGATGGAGATTTTGTATTGTGTTATAGAAGAAAGCTTCAAAAGACAAAGTGTGTTTCTACGAAAAATAGCTACCTTTTCATTTTTTTTTCTTTTATCTTTATCCGTAGTTCGTCGTTTTTTATTATATTATTATATATTAAATAACGATCGAAATAATTTTGGTTAGTTTGGAGCAATTATCACGAAGAAAGAAAAATCAATCAAAAAAAGTATATATTGACAAAGCTTATACTAACAGATATGCTTGGTCCCTCAACTAATTTAATAAAATTAAAGTGGAGATAAGTGTAGGACTTCTCACTGATAATAAGTTGGTTTTTATCTATTGGCCTGTTTGTTGTTCACAACCCTTTTAATGACACCCCATTAGTAATCTCTTTTGCTTATTTGAAAATCAATAAAGTTTATAGAGTAACTCTTTTGTAGTGTTATGATAGCACGTCAATAAATGACCCTCCCAACCTTTGCAGACGACGGGGTGACTTAGTCTTTCGAAAGAAAAGCAGTGAATCACACCCTCAGATAAAAGTGACGTGTTTCCCCTAAAAATTGACAGGGAATTCGGCTCAACCCCTCTGGCTCGTAAATATAAGGGGCAAAAAGTTTCACAACGCGATTTGTTGTTTTTATTAATTCAAATCTTGCGCAAACAAAACAGTCGTCTTTAAAAATTCTCGCTGGGGGAGGGAGCATACGCACCCTCTTAATTACGATGCACTCGTACACAAACATAATTATTTGGCGGTTATATATTAAAAATACATTCCGGTGAACCATAAATCAATCAGTACAAAATTACTGGACAAATACTAATATAATATATATACCGATCTGCCACAGTATAAACAAACACCCGCTGGGCTTGCAGTCACAATATTAGGTCACGGTATACATAATGCTCGAGGGATTATTATTATTATACTTTTTTCATTGAGAGTTTGTTTGCACTGATGGAATGTTTAACGAATTAGTTATTATGGATACATTTACTTTCGATAGACTTCCTTTTTAACTGTGTCAACTTTTATTATGGGGAATCTAAAAAGAAGTTACTGTATAAAGAATGAATTTATTAATATAATAAAAAAAATACACAATGGAACTCGTGTGGTGGCCCTGAATGTGGGTCGTTTCTTGCATTCGATAATACTTTAGGCCGGGACTGCTGAATAAAAGCAAGAATTCATAAGTTCTAAAATTAATTGGGGTTGAGTGTCCCACAAGCGTATCAAGGCCGATTAAACTCTGAACCTTAAACGATAGGTCGTTCCAAATTATTATTAAATTATATATAAAAAAAGAAATGGTGGTTTAGCCCAGTTTGTGTTGACCAAATGTACACTTCAAATACCCGAACAGAGAAGACGATAAGTATTTTTATTCATCTAAGGTTTACATGGTTAACGTATTATCGAAAATTATTGCTGCAAATTTCAATTTTTAGCTGAGCTGATAGATTTAACTGCGGCTGCGATTGGGTTCCCAAAATATTTATTGAGCATTATACAATTTTCGAGGTTGCTTCTTTTTTGAGGGTATTTTTTTTGAAAATATAATCGGAAACAATTTGTTGGCTCTTTTATTTAATATCGTTTTCTTGAAAAATGTAAGAGCGTTGCTGCAATAATAATCTTATTGTCTCTCGAGAGGGGTTTGCTGATACGGCTTAGGGTGCTTGTGAGATTAACCTTAAAATTTATAAACCCAATGTAAACAGTCTGTCGGCTAATCTATTAAGAAGATTTTGTATATGATGGTGCCTCGAGAGACTAAGATTAGAATTCATTCTAGTAGACGCTCGGAGGTGTTGCGATATATTGAATTTAAGATTTATGAATTTTCCACTCCTAGCGGTTTAGCTCTACGAATCTTATTACGTATGCGTTTTATGAAATGGTATATTTCTGGTAGTTAAATGGACACCGAAGGTTCGTTTCAAATGCCTCGTGTAATATGTAAAAGGAATACATTCGTATGATAAATGAAACTGGCGATTTTCTTGAGAGGGAAAAGTTTCTCTCGCGAATTTGCAATTTTTAACTCGGGAAAGGACAAAAGTAGATGAGAAGGCGGATTAAATGGAAACATTTAAAAGAATTATCGTTTATTGTTGCTCCTCTGTTTCCGCGGAATGCAGTCTTGTGTCGCGATGTACTTTTCTAATGTCGGGCAACGCTTTAAGCAAGATTTATGGCGAATATTAAGTAATACGGGGGCTTAAAATTACGGGCGGACGTAAAGACGTGTATCAGCATAAGGAGGAGAGATAATATGGCAAGCGTGTATACTTTCGATCCGTTGTTAAAAATCGGGAGGAATCGTTTAATCCGCCGCGAAAGCTGTTTATGTAATAATTCAATTAAGATTAAGGTTTTGATGAAGTCGGGTAAAGCTGTATTCTTGATAACGTTTGTTTAACCAAAAAAAAAAAAATACAGATGACATTGAGAAAGTCGAAACCACCTTGGCTAACCCTCACATTTCATAAAACGAAAAATAAAGCCTGAAATAAATGGAAATGGAACAAACTAAAATAGCAACTAAAATAGCAATGAACAGATTAAAAATCAAACTAATATTGCTATAAATAATGAAAACTACTGTAGAATTAATAATTTTAACAATTATATTGTGCCCTGGAAAAAACTTAAAGATTTTAATATATGCCCAAAAAAAAGATGAAAATTGTTTGCCTGAATGCCTAAATATTCCGAATAATATTAACAGACATTTTTTGCAGGTTTCTGCATTAAATATACCCCTTGATAAAAACTTGACAAACAAAATTCAAAAAGTAAATTCACTTCATTATTTAGTTTTTATGCAGTTACTAAAGAAACCGTAAAAAAAAACATTTATTTGAAATCAAATCGCGAGCTATGGGCGCCGATCAAATAAATCTGGATATGATACTACTAAGCTGTCATATAATTTTGCCTTTCATTACTAATATCATTAATTCATTTTTACTCGACGTTGAATTTCCTAGTTTGTGGAAAATATCCAAATTAATCCCCATATTTATATATATATATATATATATATATATATATATATATATATATATATATATATATATATATATATATGTATATATATATATATATATATATATATATATATATATATATATATATATATATATATATATATATATATATATATATATATATATATGTATATATATATATATATATATATATATATATATATATATATATATATATATATATATATATATATATATATA